GTAGTTCACAGTTCATGTCAGTGAATGCCGGTGTTCCTCATGGCTCCGTTCTATCCCCCACACTCTTTCTGCTGCATATCAATGATTTGATTCCACTTGCGAATATTCATTGCTATGCAGACGATACCACAGTGCATGCGAGATACTTTGGACATGCGGCGGCTGGAAAGGTAGAAACCATGGAGAAACGGGAGAATCTTGTCGTTGAGCTCAATCGGACTGTGGACCACATTTCCGAATGGGGTACCAGGAACTTGGTTGAGTTCAATGCCAAGAAAACTCAGGCTTGCGCTTTCACGGCAAAAACATCGCCATTCCTTCCCCTTCCCTCTCTTCAGGGCACAACACTGGCGCTACAGAGCTATATTACCATTCTCGGTATGGAGGTTCGCTCAGACCTGAATCCAAAGGACTACATCGAGACCTTGATCAAAGCAGCTTCACGCAAACTCGGAGTCCTGAACAAGGTGCGGCGTTTTTTCACGCCCGATCAACTGTGCTTGTTGTACAAAACGCAAGTGCGGTCCTGCGTGGAATATTGCTCGCAACTCTGGGATGGCTCCGCTAAGTACTTACTCAATGCCTTGGATAGGTTGCAGCGGCGCGCTGCCCGCATCATTGGCGATGAAGAGGTAACTAAGAAACTCGAGTCTCTACAATTACGCCGTGATGTGGCATCATTAAGCGCATTCTACCGACTATACCACGGCGAGTATTCTGAGGAGCTATTCTCGCTTATCTCTCCATCACCTTTTCTTCAGAAGACCACGCGCGCTGGCCTACGTTGCCACCGACTTACTGTGGCCACTATTCCTACACGAACAAAGAAATTTGGCGACTCATTTCTTTGTCGTACTATTCGTAAGTGGAATTCTATGCCCGCGCACGTGTTCCCTCCTTCCTATAATCTGGGGTCCTTTAAGAGAGGCGTGAAGAAGCATTTTTGCGGGCCGGCAAGGTGAGGATGGTTGGTGTAACAGTTTATAACTGCTGTACCAGCTATCTTCGCGTTTGGACTTTATCACCACTTAACATCAGGTGGGGTAGAGTCATTTGCCTACCTAATCATATAAAAAAAAAAAAAACACCTATAGGTTTTTGTTATCAAATACTGTGTTACGTTTATAACTAGAAAATATCTTAATATTTATTATAACTATTTTATTATTAAGTTTAATTATATATGTACAGAAAATCAATAATATTTAAATACAAATTTCCTTAACCTACTTATAAATAACATCTTATTTACAAAATAAAAAATAAGTCACCACCAGCGCCGCCGTCAGGGATGGTGCCCAATAGGCTGGCAGCATTGCCACGTTGAATGGCAAGGCAAATTATTTATATTTTTATTTTTGAAGTGAAAACTTCTTTAGCGGCGTTGTACACTTTTTTTGTACTGGGTAAAAAATGTTAAACTCGCGTCAGGACACGTGGCCTAATCGAAAATTCGTAAGACGAAAACAATAAAATTAGAAAGGTTGTTGATTTTTAATATATTGGACGAAGCATAGTAATATATTATTTGATCATAGTATAGGTGCGCTTAAATGTGATTCATGTAACTTGATATTTCCGAGAGATAAACTTTTTAATGTAATATAAATTATCATGTTTGTGTACGATAGCGCAATAAATAAATATTGTATTCTACTACATAAATGATAGTACTTTTATACTGATAATTAAAGCAATTCGTGCAAAATAATTCCCTAACCATTCCAAAATATCATAAATGCACAACGTTAATATTCAAGTTTTCACTTCTGCCGGCACTCCCGGATTTTTTTTGAAGCATTTAACTGCTACATTTTTAAATCTAAAGATAATTTTACTAGAAAAAAATCCACGCGGTCCAGGCAGCAGACGGGACTCGAACCCACATCCTCCGCTATCCGGACGGAAGCGCTGATCATTTTTATTATTCAAAAGAGCCTTTTCTGAGGGATTTAAAAAAAGTAACTATAACGCAGACGAAGTCGCGGGCGTATTTTATAATGTAAGAAATAAGGAGCGTTTATAAATTCCATCCCCCAATGCGGTATTAAAAGCGATGATTTTTTTATCTACATATATAAAAGGTAGATTTTATTACCCACATAAAATATTATCTACTTGCGCATATCCGGTATGCGTTAAATAATTCAGAGTCACTGTAGATATTTTTTAAACCATTTAATAATTTTAATTGATTTTATTTCAGATGCGTAACTTCTCATAAGGATATATCACGAGAGCAGAGAGTAGAGTTGGGCATCACCGATTCTGTAGTAAGACTCTCGATAGGGCTGGAGGACCCTGAAGATCTTCTTGAAGACATAAAACAGGCTCTCGATGTTGCATTTTAGAAAATCTTGAATTTTAATTTATATAAACACTAATCATTAGAAAACATACCTGTAGTTTAATTTATTGTCTGTTTTTTTTTCAAATTGGGTAGGTACTCAGGAAAACACAGAAACACACATATGATTGAACTTGACTTACCTAGGAGTCTTATTATTTAAACACTCGTTTGAAGTTACGATGTCGCATATAAAATTTCTTCAGAAGCGAATCCGTAGACCAATTTTGTAAATTTAACGTATTGCTAAAACATTATCGAGAATAAACCTCGTCCTAATTTTATGTACTATAGCCTGTTTCAAATGAATTTAGACCAAAGTAAACAAACAGGTAGGTAAGTCTGCATTTAAATGATCATATTCTTATTTGATCGACAATATCAATAATGGGTTGTATTGCCAAACTAAAGATAGCGGGCCAGAGAGGATTGCCTTGTTGACATCCAACAGATAAATGCAACAGGTTTTTTTTTTAAATAAGTTTAACATTTCCAAAGGTTTTCCAATTACTTATAAATAGGAGTTTTTTCTTTACTGAAAACAAGGCACCGCTATCTACAGAGTTGAAGTCGTTCGTGACATCAGTACCACCTCAGCAGCGTCAAGCGACAGAAAGGTGCGAAGAGCGTGATGAACAGCTGTTTCACAGCCACCCTGGACGCCAAAGCCAAGCTGAACCGGTTGAAAATCAGCTGAAACTGACGGTAAAATATGGTGATAGCAAATTTTGGATACAGCGAAAGGTGAAGCCAAAAGCTATAGCGCGAATACCGCCGTCTTTTTTATTTAGAGCAATTAAGTTGGCCCCTTAAAGGATCTCTACAATGTCTTTAGGGACTTCGTCGGATAGCACTAAGTTTACCAAAAGAGTGATATTGTGTAATAAGACTCTGCTAGCGTCACCGACTGAGACGGAAAGGAGGTCTTTTAATTATTGTCAGGTGACGAAGGTAGAAAAAGAGTTGGTGCTAGAGGTGGGTGCTTGTCCTCAAGAGCACTATGGGTCTCCTGGTAGTTGACGGCGACAACATCGTATCTGAAGATAATGTTGGAAATATATTTTATAGCAATATCATAGTTATATATTTATCTTCTAACTATGATATTGCTATAAAATATATTTAACATTATTATAATTTAAAACAATTTCTGTCATTCTTGACAAAAACAATTTCTTCATTGTAGAGATCCTTTAAGGGGCCAACTTAATTGCTCTAAATAAAAAAGACGGCGGTATTCGCGCTATAGCTTTTGGCTTCACCTTTCGCTGTATCCAAAATTTGCTATCACCATATTTTACCGTCAGTTTCAGCTGATTTTCAACCGGTTCAGCTTGGCTTTGGCGTCCAGGGTGGCTGTGAAACAGCTGTTCATCACGCTCTTCGCACCTTTCTGTCGCTTGACGCTGCTGAGGTGGTACTGATGTCACGAACGACTTCAACTCTGTAGATAGCGGTGCCTTGTTTTCAGTAAAGAAAAAACTCCTATTTATAAGTAATTGGAAAACCTTTGGAAATGTTAAACTTATTTAAAAAAAAAACCTGTTGCATTTATCTGTTGGATGTCAACAAGGCAATCCTCTCTGGCCCGCTATCTTTAGTTTGGCAATACAACCCATTATTGATATTGTCGATCAAATAAGAATATGATCATTTAAATGCAGACTTACCTACCTGTTTGTTTACTTTGGTCTAAATTCATTTGAAACAGGCTATAGTACATAAAATTAGGACGAGGTTTATTCTCGATAATGTTTTAGCAATACGTTAAATTTACAAAATTGGTCTACGGATTCGCTTCTGAAGAAATTTTATATGCGACATCGTAACTTCAAACGAGTGTTTAAATAATAAGACTCCTAGGTAAGTCAAGTTCAATCATATGTGTGTTTCTGTGTTTTCCTGAGTACCACCTCAGCAGCGTCAAGCGACAGAAAGGTGCGAAGAGCGTGATGAACAGCTGTTTCACAGCCACCCTGGACGCCAAAGCCAAGCTGAACCGGTTGAAAATCAGCTGAAACTGACGGTAAAATATGGTGATAGCAAATTTTGGATACAGCGAAAGGTGAAGCCAAAAGCTATAGCGCGAATACCGCCGTCTTTTTTATTTAGAGCAATTAAGTTGGCCCCTTAAAGGATCTCTACAATGTCTTTAGGGACTTCGTCGGATAGCACTAAGTTTACCAAAAGAGTGATATTGTGTAATAAGACTCTGCTAGCGTCACCGACTGAGACGGAAAGGAGGTCTTTTAATTATTGTCAGGTGACGAAGGTAGAAAAAGAGTTGGTGCTAGAGGTGGGTGCTTGTCCTCAAGAGCACTATGGGTCTCCTGGTAGTTGACGGCGACAACATCGTATCTGAAGATAATGTTGGAAATATATTTTATAGCAATATCATAGTTATATATTTATCTTCTAACTATGATATTGCTATAAAATATATTTAACATTATTATAATTTAAAACAATTTCTGTCATTCTTGACAGAAATTGTTTTAAATTATAATAATGTTCAAATATAACAACGTTTCCGAGATAAAATTTATACAGACAGATAATATAATCGGTCAGACTAATCAAAAAAATCGAACGAACGAACTGATAAAACACATTGTTGCATAACAATACCCAGCGCCATGCCAGTCATAATAATTGGCGAGCCTAACTCACTCACTAAGTAGTGAGAAGACAGTTGCACAAGCTACTTCATAGCAAGGAATTTATGTAAGTACACAACCCTTTTAAATTAAATAAACACCTTAATAAGGCTAATTAGATCTATGCTAGGTTTGGTCAATGTAGGTAAATATATTTTTTTTTGCAATCGCAAATGTGAATTCAATGTTTTTTGGATACCAGACTGGTTTTAGCATTTACTCGTAGCATTGTGAGATTTAAGGATAGAATTTTAGTGACCGGTTTAAATAATTTAATCAAAAGTAAAACAAAGTGATACAGATACTTAACCTAAAACAAAAGAACCGGTTTAGCGTGATCAACCGGTCACGCATAACTAGAGGATTCGATCCCGGTCGATTTTTCTAATCCCGGGATTTCGGGATTATCTACAGTTAATCCCGGGATTGTATTGGTAATAGAAAGTGGTAACAAAAAGACAGTGAAACATAACAAAATCTTTTTTTTTTATCTTTAGTTGAATTTTTAAAAAACAATACAAAATTATACTTTCTTCTGATAAAATAAACAAGCTAGGCACTTCTGTAAATAATTTATAAAATAGCTTCATAAATTATTTACAGAAATGCCTAGTTTGTTTATTTTATTTTACAATAAATTTAAAAAAATCAACTTCTTAAGACTTATTTAGATATACTATAAAAAGACTATAGGTGGTCCTTCATTATTTTGGCCCGTTGAGGAAGATGCCTTAGCAGAATCTACTTTCACGGAATGGTTTGAAGATAGATGAGTATGTAGGTCTTTGGTTGATCCTCCTAAGGTTTTTAAAATAGCTAAGCAATGCTTACAATGTGCTGAGCTACCCGCTATATCGACTGGAGAATGACTCCACACTGACGAAACCTCTTTATATTTTTTTATGCTTGACATCAAAACTTTCTTTGTACATTGTTTACTTCTTTAACCTAAACAAAAATGAAAAGAACATTTAAGTCTATGCACAATATAAACATAACCTCTTAGAGCTACAGAAAATAACACTCGTTGTTTGTCATCTATTTTAACTCGGACACCTGCATTGGTTATTTTATAATAAATTCATTGATTATCACCAATTAAAAAAAAAAATATCAATAGGTACTTACACGATGTGAAGCGGAATTTTTACACACTTTTACACTTAATCCGGTACCAGTCGTTAGCAAAAATAAATGAAGTCAGCTGAGTAAACAAGATGGCCGTCAAAACGTCAAATGAACGTGAGCGCGTTTCGTTTCACGCACATTTTTATTGACTTATATTAAAAATATATCAATCCCGAAAATCGCGGGATTCAATTCCGAAAATTTCGGACCGAATATGACCGGGATCCCGGGATCGAATCCCCTACGCATAACGGATGATTCAGGACACATTCGTCATAATAAATTATAGGCTGTTTTTCTGAGAAAAGCGGAAATTCTATATTTAGGATTTACCTTTATGGTCAAGGGAAAACGGATGAATCTCAGAAGATACATTGGCCAGAGACTTGCAGGATGCAGATAAATGTTTGATTAGGCAAGGAAGTCAAGTGAGTGGACTAGGACCAATGTGTGTGATCAATCACAGGACAGAAAAACTGGACTACATTTTATAGTGTCGTGTATATCTTATCCCGGATCGGGATATCTTATCACGGTGATTATGCTAGGGGCACTGCTTACAATTAGCGTTATTCTAATAAAATATCTAAAAAATAGTTATATCTTTTTAGAATGGCCATTCGTTGGGGTATTGTAAGCGCTGGCAAAATCAGCCACGACTTTGTGAATTCAGTGAACTCTTACCCGGATAAGGGAGATCAAGTGATTGCTGCTGTCGCTGCCAGGGATAGGCAGAGGGCCGCTGAGTTCGCTAAACTGCATAATATACCAAAAGTTTTTGACGACTATCGAGCATTGGCCGAGAGCAAAGATATAGGTAACTCTTACGACTTTGTATGCCAGTTTAAAGTAGGTACCCTTTTCTCTGTTTTTTTACTAAACTATGGTTCTATGGAAAGTACTCCATATTCAAGAGTTGAGCGCCCCGCTCTTGGATTCGCGTCATATTATCGCAATATTTGCAATGTATCTATCGCCGAGGTACAATCCTGCGGCTTAATGTTATTATACCTAATTTTAATATGTCTGTTGATAGCCTTTTGCTATCTGCCAAGGCTTGCTTTAAGCCAACCTATATTGTCATGGTTTCTTTAAGGTCTCTACCAGCAAACATAAATGATGAATACCTATTTATTATTTTTTAGATGTCGCGTATGTGGGTGTGCTGAATCCAGATCACTATGATGTCACCAAACTTTTCTTGGAAAACGGTAAACATGTGCTATGTGAAAAGCCACTTTGCCTTAACTTCAAACAAGCGCAAAGTTTATTGAATTTAGCAAAAGAGAACAAGTTGTTTTTAATGGAAGCCGTTTGGTCACGCTTCGCTCCCGTTTATTTGGCTCTAGAGGAAGAGATAAAAGCAGGAAAACTGGGAGAAATAAGGCACGTTGAAGTAAACTTTGGTGTTCCTATTGAGAAAGTTGATAGAGTAAAGTAAGTTTCCAAAATAATGTTATTGACGATCCATCTCAAGTTACTTTTGTGGATCAGGCTTAGGTACGTAAACTTATTTTTTCTTCCAGTAAAAAGGATTTCGGTGGAAGTGCTGTTCTCGATATTGGCATTTACGTACTGCAATTCGCTCAGTTTGTTTACAAAACTGAACCAGTCAAAGTAACGGCTGTGGGAAATCTTAACGAAAACGGAGTTGATATCGTGGATACTATAGTCATGGAATATGAAGGCAACGGACGGGCTGTCCTTAACGTAGATGCAAGACTTAAACTATGGAACAAGGCTACAGTTGTTGGGACTAAAGGTCGAATCACGGTGAGAGATTGTCATATAGAGATGTTTAATTCACACAACACAACTCAGTTCGCTGCACTGGATGTGATGACGTTAAGTTTCAGTATGTTGGCACACAACGCAGGTCCGGTACTGCTGTTAAGTTGACAGCTGGTGGGCCACGGTACCTAAAACATTACCGGACCGTAGCTGGGCAACGGGCCAAAGTGGTTCAACTGTTAAAGGTTGCACAGATTACTTGAGCTTCCAATTTTTCGCCATGGCGAACGACGCAATCAAGATTCCTTCTGTTGTTGAAAATATGGGAAATAAGTGTATGGCTCACTCGATAGTAAGCAGTCATAGTCTTGTCTTTTTCCGTCCACCTTTACTTTTGCCGTTCATGTCGCATTACATTTTTGATTGTTATTAAAAATATCAGACCTCATCAACAAGCACCGGTGGTTCAGTGATAAAAAGCTCGCCTGCTACGCTGTCGGCCCCGGTTCGATTCCCAGTCGAGGACGGACTTTTTTAGAAATGATTTTAAAAGTTTCACTTGCATTATTCAATTGCATGGTATCTTAAAACCACATATATTTTAATGTTAAACTTTATGGTTACTAGATTGAAGACCCCTTCCACTTTCCCGACAAATTAATTCATGTGGATGGCACCGAAGAGAAGTTTCCCTTACATACATCAAGCATACCTTACAATTTCCAAAATAGCGCAGGATTAGTCTATCAGACATTAGAGGTCGCGAGATGTATACGCGAAGGTAAGCTATATTCTTTACTAGATTCTATAGAATGCGGTCTTCAAAGCGTTGGTTGACTCATAAAAACTGGTCAAGTGCGTATCGGTTGACTCCACGCCAGCAATGTTCCATACTGTTGTGTTTATATTGTAAAATAGCAAACTTGCATTTCATTTAAATAGCATCTGAGAGACAAGCACGAGTTTTTGACAGCTCCGTAAAGTATCGTAATCGTCAAATTGAGTAGGTATGGAAAAAGCTAGTTTGTTCTTACGTCCGATAGGGGCGCTGTTTAGTTTTCAAAGAAACTTTGACGATGCGATAACTTTCGGAGTCTCTGGGCGCCCGCGCAGATTCCTTGTAACCCAATGTGTTAATAACAGACAAGTCAATAGGAAATTAAATTGCTAACAACTTTTTATTTTATTTTGTATATTTATACAAATAATATTAAATATACAAAAATAAAACAATACGTCCAGCCAATATTTGTGCAAGTGCAAGTTTGCATTGCATGTTTGGATATTTGTAAGTCAAGAAAAATGAGACATAGCAAAACTAGAATGGTTGCCTTGTTGTCTCAGAACTCTGAAAAGCAAGGATCCCATTATAAATGCATTAATCATGACTCATGTAGGATAAGTTTTACAATGAACTGTGATTGTTTTTTGCAGGGCTCTTGGAATCACCGCATATTCCACACAGCGAAAGCCTTACTCTTGCAAAACTTGAGGATACAATCAGAAAACAGGTTGGAGTGCATTATGATGTTGATAATCAAGTGTTTCCTTGAGATTCTACTGCTTTAACTTCATAGTATTCAATATTATTTACAGGGTTAGGTAAACATGGATATTGACATTTTATGTCTTATATAAAAAAAATATATTTATCATGCTTTCATCTTTTTATTTAAAAAAAAACATTATTGTTGGAATCAAATAATCATCTCATTTTTATACTGCATCTACAAAGGGTAAACTCGGTTCAGTTATTTGTATTATAATTAAATTTTTATATTGTTATCTTTATATATATAATTCTTCTGTGAGTGTGTATGTCACTGAACTTCTCTTAAACGACTGGACCGATTTTGATGAAATTTTTTGTGTGTGTTCAAGGGGATCTGAGAATGGTTTAGATTCACAATTTTGTCCGCTGGACAACCCCTATTTTTTTAGGGCGGTACGAAGTTCGCTGGGTCAGCTAGTTTTTTTATAATACCTAAGTTTACAATTCTCCATTTAGTATAAAAAAACACGCCAAGTATGCAATTTCTTAAAAATTAATAAGGCAACATATAAGATTATGCATACCTATTTGTCAAACCATTTATTTACAACTTTATTGGCATTACATAATTAATCAGCTAAATCATATTGTCTGAAATACCTAGCTATTATGCATATAAAAATGTTGAGCGGAGCTGCCAAAAATGTGGCATTTTCACCATCAGGTTTTATATGGGACCTGTAAACAAATTTTATGTTGAATGATCAATCATCAGTAGCCCATTAAATCTTCCCTATGTATGGAATAAGAAAAATCACAAGTAGGTGGGCACTAAAGATTAGTAGGTCAGGGCCATAGCTAGTTGGTGGGGGCATTATGAGGCAATTCCCAACCTTAAAGTACCATTGCCCTACCCTCTCAATGACTAAATATAATTAAAAACGGGACAGCAGAAGCCATATAAAAGTTCTCACACTAACTTCTTAAGTGGCTTCGAAAGTGTGCCATGGTGGCTGATTACTATGTCTAAATGCTCTATTTACAATAGATCTGTATTAAAATAACCCTTATAGTAGGAGAGCTACTGAACCCTCTGGGTAACGGTCTGTCTGTAAGGTTAGAAATTCTTATAGTGATGAGTCATAGCATGCATACGGTAAGCATCGCCTGGCACTCCTTAACCCTGCACGTCATCAAGCCGTATATGGTGTCAAAAAATTTTTTTAAAAAAACTTGTTGCTGTAAGCTTGAAATTTTTATACAATTTAGTTTATTAATTTTTAAGGTAAAAAAATTGCTAGGCGTTTACGATTAGCACAAGTATCCGCCAGGTGAACCGGAAGGTGTGTAATATACACATAAAAATAAACTTTATTCTGTAAAGTTGAAATTTATATGTGTTTGTTTAAGCGATTTAAAGTAAGTAGGTAGAATGCCAGGCGGTTCTGGCTAGCACAAGTCCTTGCCAGGCGAAGGGTAAGATGCTGCGGCAGTTCGAGTAAGAGTCGTAGCTAGTTAGAAAAAGATTTTTTTAAATTTTTTTTGACAATTTCAAAAATAAAGTGCTTGATGACGTGAAGGGCTGAGGAGTGCCAGGCAATGCTTACCGTACTAAGCATGCTATGACTCATCACCATAAGAATTTCTAGCCTTACAGACAGACCGTTACTCAGAGGCTTCAGTAGCTCTTAATCAAGAGTTATAATAAATTAAACAATGCATGATAAATGTTTGTTCATACCTTATTTCTGCACATTTTCTAGCTAAGTTTCTTAATATGCTTATAGTATCTGAGAGTAATGGCTGTCTTGTACAAGCTAAGAAGGCATATATCCATTGTCCTGAAATACATGAAAATAGTTTTATTTATTAATAACTAACAGTAATATACAAAACAAAGGAAATTTACAGAAAATAAAAGTACCTGTTCTGTGATCTATTGAGTCCCCATGTGAAACTTGAGCCAGTATTTCAGTAAGTACTTCTAATCCTCGATCTAGAAGAATATGTGGCAAACCAAGAACACAAGTTAATGTTGGCTCTCTCTGTAGAAAGAATGTTTTCCAACCTCTTACTGTATTTTCTTCAATTTTAACTTTCTCTATATTGTTTGGCCAGAGCGATTTATTAGCTAAGAGTCGAGAAATGTACATGCGAACATCAGAAAAATCAGCTACCTGAATATTTTGCCATTCTATAGTCGGAATAAGTCTTTCTGGTGCTTTAGCATGAGGAAGCTGAAATGATAAAAATTTTGTATATTCATTTAAGAAAAATATATACAAAACAAATTCTCTTGTTGAGCCAATTGGCGATCCAGGTCTTGCTTCATAGTACAAAAGTAATTCTTACCTCTACAACAAAGCACGACTGATTTTTCAAATACTTCGAATAGTCCTTATTACATTTAGTGATTGTTGAATAATTTTGACGTTCTTTCATTACTTTAAGAAGATATTCTTCGCCCGTAGTGGGAACATCCTTCAATTGTACCCCCGAACCAATTTTAAAACAAGGCGAATTTAAAAAATCCTCTTCTTTATCATCAGTACATTTATATAAACACCTGTCTTCAGACATTTTAGTTTTTATAGACATAACATGTTAAAAATAATTTTATACTTTGTTTACAAAGAAATAAATATCAGAGAAAATTACAGATAATTTTTATTGTTCTTTTTTTTTTGTTTTTGGTAAGTTCTCCCTTTTCAGGGAAGGCAAGGGGAACAATGCCCATACAGCCTAGTCTTAAGTTAATTTATTCTGTTTTTCTTTTTACATTAGAATGTCGGTGTGACGCATTCTAATGTTTCTTGAAGTGTTTGGCACGAAATGTATCGAGCTGGCTTTCTCGATAAGCTTCTGTGAGGTAGTCAATACTACAATAAAATTCTCACGTCCACTTGACCGGAATAGCGTATATTTTAAAGATTCCACTAATTCTTCAGTTGCGCAGATGGTTGTAACACAAAATCACACCAATTTTATTTCACAATGTCCACTATGAACAAATTTAAGAATAATTAAAATAAGACTCCAACCGCACTCGATGAAATCCCGCCAAAAAGTCGTTCTTTTTTTGATTAATTTGTCCCTGTTGGGACGGGCAAAGGATTCTGAGTCCATACAGCCCTGTCTGTTAATTTTTATTTTGTTTATACATTTTACGGATACAGAGTACATAAGGGTTAATTATTAAAAAAAAACTCGCGAGATGGCTGTATGTTTGGATTCCTTCGCCCCTCTTTAATAAAAAAAAGTTACGTTTGTAATCTTTGAATAAAAATATTTTTTATCACCAAGTTACCTGATGTTACTGATATGAGATCGTTAAATTACACGCAGCCTTTTCAGGTCTGCATCATCAGAATAATTATAAAAAAAAAAAATCTTGTTTTTAATAAAATAGATTTATTTAGCATTATAAACAAAAACTTGAAAAAAAGATCGATTTTTCAGAAATCGTTCATATTGGCCTTAATTTGTTTGTGGATTGATAATTAGACTTAGACCATTAAATCACAGGACTAGCCTCGCAAGATCTTTCCCCTCTGTCAAGGTATAAGATCAAATGATCCAGTGCGTTCATAAAAACTACTTACAATCGATAGATTACCACAGTGTGAGAATCGTTATCGTAGTGACAACAGCCCGTGTCTCCTCGCAAAATAATGCTAACCTGTGCCGTTTTAACGTGCAAAAAAAGATCAAACACCTCTAATTTACAAAAAACCGGGATATCATTTCACATGTAAGTGTTTTTTCTATATTTTAGTGCTTTTTTTTTTAAATTAAAAATGAATTTTACAATAATCGAGAATAGAAACTTGCAAGTAATCAAGTGAGATCCAATTCGAATATGTGCCGAAACATATTCATATGATTTTATACTTTATAATTGAAAAATAGAATCCATTTTAGTGACCTTAACTATATAATGGCGAATATAGTCTCTATTGCATGCTCCCCACGAGACTTGCAAACGCACTCCCCACGAGACTACATTTTTTAATTATCAAGTTTCGACCTTAGGCCCCACATTTAATACCCCTTCCACACGACACAATTTGATTGCCAATCTGATTGCCGATTGAATTGGGTACAATCTGGTCGTCCGTCCACACATACACAACAAGATCGCCAATTTCAGTTTTATTTGTTGCCTCTGCTGAACGGACTTGTTTGTATTAGGATGCCTCTTACCAAGAAGCAAAAAATTGGATTAATCTTGGCTCTAACTACAAATGTAGATGAGAAAAAAAGAAAAAGAAGACTGTGGACAAAACAATCGTTTTAAAGAGAAAGCAATTGAGGCACTTAAATGTAGTTATATTATATTTAAGTGACTCAATTAATAAACATACATATAGTTATACTTAAGGAGTAATATTTTTAAAGAAAATATAACTAAAAAAAATTCCACGTGGACCAGGCAGCAGACGGGACTCGAAGCACCCTTCGAAAACCCTTTAAAATATAACTGAGTTATATTTTCTTTAGATTTAAACATCAAGCAGTTACATGCGTTAAAAATTATAACTATAATTGCTATTTCTTCTTTCAAATGTTTAATACTTATAAAAGTATTCATTTGACATTGTGGGTTACCTATAATGCGAAGAGATGGCGCTGCCTTGCAACTTAAGAATGGCTGGAAGAATTTCGACGCGGTCCGTGAGGGCCGCGGTAGCATAATTGGTCAGTGCATTCGCCCGGATTGCGAAGGGTGCGGGTTCGAGTCCCGTCTGCTGCCTGGTCCGTGTGGATTTTTTTCTAGTTATATTTTCATTAGATTTAAACATCAAGCAAATTACATGCTTAAAACATAAAAATTATAAAAAGATATATATAATATTATTTCTTTTTTACCCCAGCATGCTCGCATATCATTGAGTAGAATATAAATTTAATTAAATGATTTTTTATTTTCAATAACAAATAACTGCCCGGTCCGCGTGGATTTTTTTCTAGTTATATTTTCTTTAGATTTAAACATCAAGCAGTTACATGCTTTAAAAATAATAAAAATTATAACAGTAATATTTTTATCAATATTTTTCCACTTATTCCGCAAAATCTCTAAGGAATTATGCCTTGCTTGTTTATTTTTATATAATGGGTTAGACACATCCCAAAGGCATGGCAAGTCTTTACATATATCTAAAATCTCCTCCATTACTTCCCGTTCAGATCGAATAGACATAATAATGTCGTCATGTTGCTCCATCTTCTTCTCAAAAGACAAGTCAACGCACACACCCGCTATGAACGCCGCTTGCACAGTAACTACGTTAAAAAATTGGCCAGTTAGCGTCCACACCACCCATTTGATTGGGCAATCCCGAATCTGGCGATACTGACCATCCAATGACCTTCAATTTCATATTTCCGTCCACACAACACAATTCGATTGTCAATCTAATCAAATTGGACGTAAAATTGCATCGTGTGGATGCCACTTAAGATTCGAAATAAAAATTGTATTACTTGAATTGAGTGTAGTGAGACTATTTAATTACGACTTTTAAGTGATGGGAAATTAAATTGAAAAATAATATCGATATAATGGTTTTTTGTTTTTTTGAATGCTTAAGACACATTTACTCAAAATTAATACATTTTAAAAATCAAATAGTTCGATATTAATAATACTTTTTTTTTGTTTTTAAGCATGTAATGGCCGCGTCGAAATTCTTCTAGCCATACTTAAGCTGCAAGGCAGTGCCATCTCTTCGCATTGTAGGTAACCCACAATGTCAAATGAAAACTTTTGTAAGTATTAAACATTTGAAAGAAGAAATTGCAATTATAGTTATAATTAATTTTTTTAAGCATGTAACTGCTTGATATTTAAATCTAAAGAAAATATAACTAGAAAAAATAATAATACATGCTTGTGCGTGCTTGCGTATGTTATATGAACGTAACGTACGTATGTATTTTAATATATAAAAGCCAGAGTAGAGAAAAAATACGATAAGACAGCTGGTGGTTTCATGACGGTTTAGTAAAAATGAGTTTTTATAATTTAACATTGGAATGGTGGCAGGAGTGTTCATTAAAACAGACCAAATAAACCCAGACTCGAGGGATCTTTTTGGTAACATTGAAGAATTCACTATTCACCTCCTGGCTTCATTATCAGACTGGCTCAATGATATCAGATTATTGTATTGTCATCCAAATAACATACACTTACCAAGTTTTGAATCAATATGAGAATAAGAAGTAGATTGAATTCGACTTTCCAGATTTGTTTACCTAGTTAATTACAAGTGAGGCTAATATAAGTGTGTTAAAATATGATAAGTTTTGACTCGTTTGCCATAAGCTCCTAAAAGATATGAAATCATCAACAGATCAAGATCTGTATTACAATTATTCTCAGGGATACAAGTACCACTGAGAATAATAGTAATAATCATAATAATGTTAAATAAAAATGAGTGTAGAAGATTATTTGAGTTCATGTTGTACTTCAATAAAAGTTTTAATCTAATGTCTTAAAGTATTTTTATTTCATTTTAATTTACCTCTGGCCATTTACACTTACAGTAGCAATATTTTTTTATTGTCGAAATCGTTAAATTGAACACACATTTCTGAACAAGACTGTACCTATGTTGAAACGACTGTTTGACAGATAAGAAAAAAGAACATATATACATAAAACAAATGACATTTAAGACTTTCTCCCACGAAACGATTTTCTAAGTTTAGCAAAAATTATAAGTGATTGGGTAATTGTGCCAGTGAGAGTATTAAAAGACCCGGAGTAATTTTTTCCGTTGTCATATTTTTATTTTATAAAATAATCTTTGAGAACACGAAAAACTATCGATATTGTTATTTAAAGAAAACTAAAATATCGATACCGAACTTTCCCTAGTCACGATTACTTGTGATTGTCATTAGTGTGCGTAGGTGAAAAAATATATTTGTAGGCGATTGTAACAATACAAATAACTAAGGCTGTGTGAGTTTATTTTAATGTAGTGGTTTACCTCGTCCCCCTCAAAAAGTGACAGACTTTGCACTGAGTAAAATTAGGCGCGTACTTAGTCCAGTGGTTTAATGGTCTAAGTAATTAGGTCACGATTCAAATCGATTTCAAAATCAATCTTTTTCGAAAAGAATCGCCTTCCCTACATAGAGTTGATCATGGCCAAATCATGGCCACCTTTTCTTTTAATTTATTCATGACTATAGAAACAAGTATTTCAGTCGTATACAGAATTACAAATACAAATCATAATGTTCTTTTTTTACATTAAAATGTCGGTGTGACGCATTCTAACGTTTCTTAAAGTTTTTGGTGCGAAATGTATCGAGTTTGCTTTTTCGATAAGCTTCTGTGAGGTAGCCAACACTACAATAAAGTTCTCACGTCCAATTGACCGGAATAACGTACATTTTAAATCCACTAATACTTCAGTTGCGCAGACGGATGTAACACAAACTCACACCAATTTTCTTTCACAATATCCAGTATTTACGAATTTAAGAATAATTAAAATAAGACGGACGCCGACCGCACTCGATGAATTCGCGCCAAAAAACAGAGTACATTGTTTTGAATGAATTATCACTGAGCAAACAATCTGTAAGAGTCGGCACTTCCATACTAGCCCTTGTCCCGAACTGGGTGTGCCTTTTGTACCAATCATAATAAAAAACATACTACCAACATATGTAGGAAATGACAAAATAGTGATGTACCTGTTAGATAAGGTCGTTTGACATTGTCACTTGGGATTTTGTGATGCATGAAGAAAAACAAATGTCATGTAATTTGTGATCATTTTTCCTTAAATAAATAATAAGCGCACATAGTTCTATCGGCCGCATCACCCATAAAAGCGCAGAAAAGATCGAAATAAGGTAAAGAATGAAATAAAGTAGTATCTAATCAAAAATATTTTCCCACCATCGTTAAAAAAAGCCGGTTGGCGTCTTATTTTAATTATTCTTAAATTGGTTCATAGTGGCTATTGTGAAGTAAAATTGATGTGATTTTGTGATATCACATCAATTCTAAAAAAAAACGTTTAAAATTGTGTTGTGGCGGATATAAGTGTCTAATAATGGTGTAAATTATTAACCACTAAGTGTTCGGGAACATGCACAAGTGTTGGCAAGTGAAATAAAATACAGGAAAGTGTCTTTCGACGTTCCCTCAAGAAGTCCACGGGGAGGTTCCAGTAAATCCCCACACATATACTGAAACATAGGGAAAGGGGGATTGACTTGACTGCCACTTACTTTGACTTGATTTATTACTTTGACCACGAGTGCTATAGAATTTGTAAACATTTTAATACTTGACATTGGCTAAATGCACAAGCCGTGCGAAGCCATTTAGGAAAAAAAAACTATGTAGGGATGGCGATTCTTACCGGAAAAGATGGATTTTTAAATCGATTGGAATCGTGACCTAATGAATCAATCCACAAAAAAATCGAGGTTAGGGATGCAAAGTCTTTTGAAAGATCGATATTTATATCGAAGTCAGGAAAATATCGATATCCGATATATCGACCATTTTTACTCGATATTTTGGCTATTTTTTCCTTTTTATTTTTTTTTGACATTAGAATACGGTGACACATTCATATGTTTGTTGGCGAGTTTCTCGCAAAATGCATTGAGCCAGCTTTTTCGTTAAACACGCTTGATGAAATCGCGCCAAACAGGGTCTTTTTTTATTGGCTCGCACGGTTTGTGTTTCAGCCACGACAGGAAACCAAAAAAATAAAATTATTATCCTGATCTGATCACTCACATTCGTTAGCACGAATGCGCCAACCCGCATATGTGGGACGACATTTGCGAATGCCTTCGCTAAGTTTTTACTACATTCGCGCTTTTCCAAGCTATGTCGGTTTTTTAGCGCACATCAAATACGCAAATTGCTTAGTCTCCCACACATCAGGGGCGTGCCCATGGCTTCAGAATAGGGTCAGCCCAAAGCTTCCAAAATTACTATACCTATCTTACTTTCTTGACTTGGCGAGCTTAAAAAATTTACGATTTGTATAAGATTCTTAATTTTATTTTGTCTTATATTACAACGATATTATAATATTACAACGCCTGCTATCCTGATCTCACAGAGGACCAGCTAAACAAGCTTGAGCGACTTCAAAATTTCTGCATTCGGTTTATATTCTGCTTACGCAAATATGACCATGTATCTCAATTTCGATCACAGCTCAAGTGGCTACCTATTCGCCTTCGCCGGAATACTCACATCCTCTTTACAATATATTGTTCAATCCTTTGTCCCCGCGCTATCTCAAGGAATGCTTTAATTACCTTCATAATTCCAATGCGTTATCTCTAAGGTCATCAGAAAATTTAACACTAAAGATTCCTATTCATGACACGACCTTCTATGGTCGTTCTTTTAACGTCCAAGCTGTACGTCTATGGAATTCTCTTCCTGTATCCATAAGACAAGCGCAATCTGTTAATGTCTTTAAAAATCTAGTTGTAAATCACTTTTTGTCTATGTAGCTGCATTTTTATCTCTGCTGACTGGACTAAACTTATATATGTGTAGTCTATGTATTGTATAATATGTATATATAATAAGTATATTTAATTCATAAATTCGTTCATATACCTTGTTTCTTTTACTGACACCGCCGACTCTAGCTTTCTATCCTCTCCATCCAAAGGTTGTCTGGAAGAAATCGCTTTTAGCGATAAGACCGCCCATTGAAGCACTCTGTTTTTACAATTGTAATTTCCCTCATTTCTGTTCTGTGTTGTTGTGTTTTCAATAAAGTATTGTGTATTGTATTGTATTGTGTAACGATATTAAATTTCAATTAATCAGTAGTTGACAATTATCTAGAAAGCGAGGCAAGGATTTTATTTAAGTGCATGAGTTACTATTAGGTATACGATTATACCTATATATGTTGGTGATTCTGGCGTGATTATCTAAACTTAAAACTAAATTTAACATCAGTCTCTCCTTTTCATTCTGTATAAAGAAAGACAAGGATACATTATTGTCAAATTTAATTTTAGGTTTAGAGAATCATGCCAGAATCCACACCAGTTTAGTATATTTCTTGGGGTTCAAGATTTTTTTAATGCATCTATAAGCTCTTGCGATTTCAAAGCAATAGTTATTTCAATATTATTCAATTTAGATAGTCATAGCAGGTAAATTAATTGATATTATTATGTACAAATTTAGTCTACAAAATATCGATATTTTGGATTTTCCGATATCAAGATTATCGATATCAGTGAATTTTAAATATCGATATTTTGGTCTCGATATTATCGATATTCCGATATATCGTTGCAACCCTAATCGAGGCCAATATAACCGATTTCTGAAAATTCTATCTTTTTTTCAAGTTTTTGTTTATAATATTATATAAAAATATTTTATTAAAAACAAGAAACTTAACATAACTTAACTATCTCTTATCATTAACATCAGGTAATTTGGTGATAAAAAATAATTTTATTCAAAGATTACAAACAAACGTAACTTTGTTTTACTAAAGAGGGGCGAAGGAATCCAAACATACAGCCGTCACTCGAGTTTTTTTAATAATTAACCCTTTAACTGGTAGCATTCTTTTAACGGGTACATTCAAATAATTGTAAATACTTTTTTCGCTTATATAAAAAAAAATGATGATTTTCAAAGGTGAAATACCGAATCACTAAAGCGATTCAGTACTATAAATCGAAAGAAAAGTTTACTAGAAAAAAATCATAACTATAATTGCTATTTCTTCATTCAAATGTTTAATACTTGAAAAAGTATTCATTTGACATTGTGGGTTACCTACAATGCGAAGAAATGGCGCTGCCTTGCAGCTTAAGGCTAGGAAAATTTCGACGCGGCTAATAGGGCCGTGGTAGCATAATGGTCAGTGCATTGGCCCGGATAGCGAAGGATGCGGGTTCGGGTCCCGTCCGCTGCCTGGTCCGCGTGGATTTTTTTCTAGTAAACTTTTCTTTGATTTAAACATCTAGCAGTTAAATGTTTAAAAAATAAATAAAATCATACCTATAAATCGATTTATAAATTCAATATTATTGGCTTTAAAAATTGATTCATTGATTAATCAATCTCAGATCGCCATCCCTAACTCTATCTATGTAGTCTGTGGTCGCCTCTATTCAGTATCTGTATGTTTGAACACATTATAATGAAATGAAGGTAATGAAGTCATATTAATAAAGAATTGGCTGTACGCATTTCATCCAAGGCCGTTAAACTTAAAAAAAAACTGTATGTGGTTTTGAAATACACCAATCCATTTAAATTTAATTTAGTGTATCAAACTCTAAATCGGCATAAGCAAATAACTATTTAGGGAATAAAGTAAGCGAGTGATGTCTACATCTAGCAACATATCTCAATCAGCTTATTCCCCTTCCGAACCAGAAACACCTCAAGTAGGTAAACTTTGTTTTAAATTAACAGGAAAAAATGTATCCAAAGTGATTTAAAGCCATTCTGATTGAATTTTTAATGTTTTTTACAGAGTTAGTCTTTACATTAAAACAAAAACGCTCCAGATGTTGCAGTTTTCAGTAATAGACAGTAAATTAAGATAAGGGTTTATTTGTATCAAACATGCAATAAAAACTAGTTTTCTGCAAAGCAAAGCAAGGGCTGTTCACTTGTTGATTTTTATATAAGTATAGTGTGACTTTCAGTGGCTTTGTTTATATTTGATAAATAAATTGATAAATTTAGCTTTAGCTTGCAACATTATTTTCAAGCACTGCAAAGAATCAAGAATGATAAAACAAAGACTAAAAAAATTATTAACAATAATTTTTATAAAATAATTTTGTAAGTCTTCACATATTTCACTGTTATCAACAAAAATAAATGAATTGAAGTGGATATACTGTACTTCCAGGGTCCAAAAGTAAAAACTTCACAGTTTTGTTGGTTGCGACTACGCAATTTTGTTGTTGAAAAGGCTTCTGTTAACCACATTATTAAACAAAGTGTCACACTTATGCATTGGTAGTTTTTTAGAAAATTTTAAAAATTAATTTACATTGATTTTTTTTAATAGTTTTTTAGTAATCTATGAGACGAAAGTTGAAATTATTATACAGCCATCAAAAATAAAAACGAAGCACAAAAAATTTTCAGAATACTTATTAAAAGCTATTAATTGTGTACGATAATAATTGTAAATACATAGTATTTTACTTTTCATGTACCTACTTTCTTTCTTATTTTAAGGTTGTTTATGCAACTTGAACACAGAACCGACTTTGTCAATCCCGAATCGCCGTGGTCTTGGTCTGCCCTACCCCTAGAGTGTTTTCCAGAGCCCGGAGACGCGGAGGGGGAGCAGCCTCCGTCCGCTGTAACAAAGCCACAGGCATTCGCGACCTTAGTTCTAGTTAGTTAGTTCTTCAGGGCGGTTTCCGCACTTAGTCCTAATTATTGGACCATTGCGCGTGTCTCAAAACATTCCCGCTTACTCCAGCCAGCCTATATCGGTCCAGAAGGAAAGCAGCCTTGGTAGACTGCTGCAAGCTTCCGGAAACGATTCTGGTGACTGGAGAAGTCGTGCCCGTTGGTCGGCCACACTCCTGCATTCCATGATGACATGCTGTGGCGTTTCTTCTGCCTCCATGCATCCTCTGCATAGGGGGCTGTCTGTAACTCCTATTGTATATAGGTGTTTGTTTAGGGATGACCAGTCAGGGATCCTATAATCCTGCGAAGTTTGTCCCTATTTAGTCTGGTAAGGATGCGGGCAAAACTTTTATTTACCGTCGGAACCGTGTTTTTCGTTTGCCGGCATCCTTCACCTGTTTTCCACTCCGTCAAGTGTGTTTTATGAGTTATTTCACGCAGCCACGTTTTAATTTGGGCCTGAGGTATGGGCAGCAAAGGCTCCGGACCATACACCTTTGTGTCTGCTCCCCTCTTAGCCAGTTCGTCTGCTGCGTCGTTTCCAATTGAGCTGCTGTGTCCTTTTATCCTTTGCAGAGTTACCGTGTTGCTAACCGCAATGGATTGAAGTGCCTTGTGGCACTCCATTACTAGGACAGAGTTTATTGTGTTGCTACGTAGGGCTTGAAGCACGGATGCACTGTCAGAGATGATTTTGATGTTATACTCTCTGATATCTCTGGCTGCAACCGCCTGTGCCGCTCTGGTAATGCCAATACATTCCGCCTGGAAGATTGTACTTTGTTTGCCTAAGGTTGTAGATATTTTTATATTCAGGTCGTTTGAGAAGACACTGGCTCCAGTGTCACTGCTGGTTTTGGAGCCATCCGTGTATATCCTAACTTCCCCGGCGCCAGAGTAATCTGCCTTTTCCGCGGTAAATTGGATGTTGTATCTTCGATCAAAGACGTGTTGACTTAATATTCTATCCATAGGTGCCTCCAGGAGTGGGATCTCCTTTGTGCACTTTTGTAGAATATTGGAGTGTGTTGTTACAGTATTTAATCTCCATAATACTAGAGACTTTAGTCTCAAGGCTGCTGCTTTCGCCTCTTCTTGTATGACCAGGTCTAATGGTCTTAAATTCATGAGGTACTCTAATGCAGCCGATGGAGTTGTTCTCATGCATCCAGTTGCTGCTACGCTCGCCAAGCGTTGTAGACTTTGGAGTTTGGATTTCACTGTGGTCAGTTGGGTCCTGGGCCACCAAACAACTGAACCATAGGTTATAGAGGGCCTGATGACTGCTGTGTATAACCAAAGGGTGATCTTTGGACTTAGACCCCACTTTTTACCAACTAGTCTTCTACACTGATTAAAAGCTATGCAGGCCTTCTTTGTTTTTAAATCAATATGACTCGCCCAATTCAATTTGTTATCAAGGATCACGCCCAGATATTTCACTTGTGCTGATAGGGAGAGTTTGGTATTAAACAGTTTTGGTAACTGTAGTTCAGGTAGCTTCCTTTTGTTGGTGAAAAGGACTAGCTGTCTTGTTCGGGTTTACTGACAAGTAATGTTTGTCACACCATTTTTCCACAATCTGAAGGGCTGAACGCTTAACCTTGCAAAGGACATTTTCAGCGTTCCCATTTATCAGAATTGTTAGGTCATCCGCATAACCAATAGTAGTGTATCCTCTGTCATTCAGACTCCGTATGAGACTGTCCACTACTATGTTCCAGAGAACTTCTCCCCCAAGGGGGAGTCCTATCACCACTTGGTGATAGGACTCCCCCTTGGGGGCATCCTCTGACTACCTTCGCACGCGTGGTAGCGTTCCCCACTATCTGAACCGCCCTTTTGCCAACCAGTTCGGTGATCCAACCTCTGGTGACTTGGTTCACCTTGAGTTTTCTTAGGGCGTGGTTAATGCTGTTGTGCATCGTTTTGTCAAACGCACCTTCTATGTCTATGAAGGCTGCCAGTGTTGAGTTTTTATTTGTGATTGCCGACTCTATTTTGTGGACTACTGAATGCAGCTGAAGGAGACCATCGACGATGGGATCCTGCAGGCAGTTCTGACTCCGCAGTCTCCAGATGCGCAGGCTCCATCTTTCCGCGGGCGACCCTTCCTCTTGGACGGGGTGCTAGAGATGTGGTGTGAGGACGAGAACGCACTCAAGTGGCTTGAGCAAATGGTGAAAACCATCCAGTCACCCATACCGAACACCACATTAACGGTCATTAGGCTGTCGGATGTGAAGAAGAAACTCAGAGCTGGGCTTCTTCTCCACACCCGCATCACTGAGTCTGCCACACTGCAGAAACTCCTTTGTGCCCAGAACCCCTGGTACAAGGTCGTGTCCTGGCAGTGTTACGACATGACCGTTGATGACAAACCGGAGAGCAGTTCTAAGGAGAAGGTGGTCCACCTGATCCTTGGAATCCCCGAGGACCAAAAACAAACCATACTGGACAGGGAACGCCGTGTTGCACACATGTTGGGCAGCGGATACATCCGCTTTTTTGCGACAGACGAAGCAACAGTGGCTGACCCGACAGTAGCGACAGCAAGTGTTACTACAGAGCAGGAAGGCGCTGCGATCCCGACACCCACCACCTCAGCTCCCCAACCGGGTCCGAGCGAGATGGAAGAGGAAGCAGGCCTGAGCTCTGAGGACAGCGTGAGCGACGAAGATAGCGTCCTTCGCAGTCCCTAGTAGCACCATCACTATCATACAGACCAATCTCCAGCACAAGCAGATAGCGGCGGCCACACTACGCAGGGTGCTCGAGACAAACAACATGACCGTCGCCCTGATTCAGGAACCCTGGATCAGAAATAATAGGATTTGCGGTCTGAACAACATCGGTGGTAAGTTACTTTTAAACACATCTGTCGATAAACCAAGGACATGTATTTTTACACCCAAGTCTATAAAAACAACCATGCTTAACCAATTCTGTTCTAGAGACCTCACAGCTGTGACGATCCCCACAGATAACCAAACAGTCCTGGTACTAGCTTCAGTCTACATGCCGAATGAGGGGGAAATTCCTCCGAGGGAGCTGACCGAGCTGGTACAACACTGCGAGGACCACAAATGGGAGCTGATTGTAGCGGCTGACTGTAACGCACATCACTCACTGTGGGGAAGTAAGGACACAAACAAAAGGGGTGAGTTATTAACTGAATACTTATTCCAAACCAACCTTAACATCATGAACATTGGGACGGAGCCCACATTTGTTAGCTCTAGGTACCAAACTATCATAGATATAACACTAGCGACACACGCGGCGGCCAATCTAATCGAAGGATGGCACGTGTCAAACGAACCCTCCTTTGCAGACCACCGCAGGATATGTTTCCAATTACAATACAGACCCTGTTCCATATCGCAACCCCCGAAAAACAGATATAGCAAGGTACGTAGAACTAATAAATAAAACACTAAGCGAGATGCAAATACACGACGAAATCCCTGACATAAGCAACATAGAAACAAACGTACAGTTCTTCACTTCAGCGCTTCTTAAAAGCTACGAACTGACGTGTCCTACCATCGTACCGAAAGGCCTGGGTAAAAGTTCCTGGTGGGGGCCAGAACTTGAGAAACTACGTAAGGAACTCAGGACACTTTTCAATCGAGCGAAAAACAACAGAACCAATGAGGACTGGGACAGATATAAAATAGCACAAAAACACTACAAGAAGCGGATCAGATTCCGGAGTAGAGAAGGAACTATCTGAACCGCCCTTTTGCCAACCAGTTCGGTGATCCAACCTCTGGTGACTTGGTTCACCTTGAGTTTTCTTAGGGCGTGGTTAATGCTGTTGTGCATCGTTTTGTCAAACGCACCTTCTATGTCTATGAAGGCTGCCAGTGTTGAGTTTTTATTTGTGATTGCCGACTCTATTTTGTGGACTACTGAATGCAGTGCCGACTCTGTTGATCTGCCTTTCCTGTAGGCATGTTGTTGAGGGTGCAGCGGAGCCTTACTTAGTGCTCCATCCCTAAGGTGTCGGTCTACCAGTCTTTCCAATGTTTTTAAGAGAAAAGAGGTTAGGCTTATTGGTCTGAAGGATTTGGCTTGTGTGTAGTCGTCCTTGCCTGGTTTCGGTAAGAAGACTACTTTTGCCTCCCTCCGTGGTTTTGGTATGTACTTGAAGGCCAGGCAGGCCCTAAAGATAGGTTGTAGGTATCTAATTGCCTGACCTAGTTGTCATTGTAGTAGCGCCGGGAATATACCATCTAGTCCCGCTGACTTAAATGGTTGAAAGCTTTTTAGAGCCCATTCTATCTTTTCCGCCGTTACTATTGTTTTTGCCAGGTCCCATTCCTGGGTTGTTGGTGCATTGTGGTGCTCAGTCGACCACTCCAGGCCTGGCGCCAGTTGGCATCCTCTGAAGTGGGTTTCCAGTAGCACCGCATTGGCTTCTTCTTCTATTTTTGTATAAGTGCCCTCTTCCCTTTTCAGAGACCCAAGGAGGTTGGAGTTGTCCTTGGACAGAACTTTCTTGAGTCTGGCAGCTTGATTTGTTGAATTGACACTATTACAGAAACCGCGCCATCCTTCTCTACTCCGGAATCTGATCCGCTTCTTGTAGTGTTTTTGTGCTATTTTATATCTGTCCCAGTCCTCATTGGTTCTGTTGTTTTTCGCTCGATTGAAAAGTGTCCTGAGTTCCTTACGTAGTTTCTCAAGTTCTGGCCCCCACCAGGAACTTTTACCCAGGCCTTTCGGTACGATGGTAGGACACGTCAGTTCGTAGCTTTTAAGAAGCGCTGAAGTGAAGAACTGTACGTTTGTTTCTATGTTGCTTATGTCAGGGATTTCGTCGTGTATTTGCATCTCGCTTAGTGTTTTATTTATTAGTTCTACGTACCTTGCTATATCTGTTTTTCGGGGGTTGCGATATGGAACAGGGTCTGTATTGTAATTGGAAACATATCCTGCGGTGGTCTGCAAAGGAGGGTTCGTTTGACACGTGCCATCCTTCGATTAGATTGGCCGCCGCGTGTGTCGCTAGTGTTATATCTATGATAGTTTGGTACCTAGAGCTAACAAATGTGGGCTCCGTCCCAATGTTCATGATGTTAAGGTTGGTTTGGAATAAGTATTCAGTTAATAACTCACCCCTTTTGTTTGTGTCCTTACTTCCCCACAGTGAGTGATGTGCGTTACAGTCAGCCGCTACAATCAGCTCCCATTTGTGGTCCTCGCAGTGTTGTACCAGCTCGGTCAGCTCCCTCGGAGGAATTTCCCCCTCATTCGGCATGTAGACTGAAGCTAGTACCAGGACTGTTTGGTTATCTGTGGGGATCGTCACAGCTGTGAGGTCTCTAGAACAGAATTGGTTAAGCATGGTTGTTTTTATAGACTTGGGTGTAAAAATACATGTCCTTGGTTTATCGACAGATGTGTTTAAAAGTAACTTACCACCGATGTTGTTCAGACCGCAAATCCTATTATTTCTGATCCAGGGTTCCTGAATCAGGGCGACGGTCATGTTGTTTGTCTCGAGCACCCTGCGTAGTGTGGCCGCCGCTATCTGCTTGTGCTGGAGATTGGTCTGTATGATAGTGATGGTGCTACTAGGGACTGCGAAGGACGCTATCTTCGTCGCTCACGCTGTCCTCAGAGCTCAGGCCTGCTTCCTCTTCCATCTCGCTCGGACCCGGTTGGGGAGCTGAGGTGGTGGGTGTCGGGATCGCAGCGCCTTCCTGCTCTGTAGTAACACTTGCGGTCGCTACTGTCGGGTCAGCCACTGTTGCTTCGTCTGTCGCGAAAAAGCGGATGTATCCGCTGCCCAACATGTGTGCAACACGGCGTTCCCTGTCCAGTATGGTTTGTTTTTGGTCCTCGGGGATTCCAAGGATCAGGTGGACCACCTTCTCCTTAGAACTGCTCTCCGGTTTGTCATCAACGGTCATGTCGTAACACTGCCAGGACACGACCTTGTACCAGGGGTTCTGGGCACAAAGGAGTTTCTGCAGTGTGGCAGACTCAGTGATGCGGGTGTGGAGAAGAAGCCCAGCTCTGAGTTTCTTCTTCACATCCGACAGCCTAATGACCGTTAATGTGGTGTTCGGTATGGGTGACTGGATGGTTTTCACCATTTGCTCAAGCCACTTGAGTGCGTTCTCGTCCTCACACCACATCTCTAGCACCCCGTCCAAGAGGAAGGGTCGCCCGCGGAAAGATGGAGCCTGCGCATCTGGGGACTGCGGAGTCAGAACTGCCTGCAGGATCCCATCGTCGATGGTCTCCTTCAGCTGTTCCGCCTGCTCAGCCGAGAGGTCCCTCGGCGGGACGGTGGTGACCGCTACTCTCAGATGCGATTTACTCGCATCTGCGTAGCTCACCGTCCGCTTCGTCTTCGCGTCGGTTTTGGCGCATTTGGCATCCCCCCTTGGAGACTGCGTGTCGTCCAGTCGTGGCCGCTTCGTAGAAGCTGCTTCGCCCGAGCCACACGCAGCCCCAGGCTGCTCCTTTTCAGGAGCAGTGGGAGCCTCCGCAGCGATCCGCCGACCACGATCACCCCTCGGTTTCGGTCTCCGTCGTGGTGTTTTGTGTGCGTTTGTGTTGTCTGTTTTGTCAGCCCTCTGTATTTCTACAGGCTCGCGCTGTGTTTCCACTGCTGCGGTGACCGACTGTGTACTGTCAAGTTTGGTTTTGGGCTGCTGGGCTTCCCTTCTCGCGCGCCGGTTGGGGCGACTGCGTTCTGTTCGGCCCTGCGAACCTTTGTTTATGTGTTTGTGGGTGGCCGCCGCACTAGCAGTCTTCCCTTTGCAGGGGCGCTTATGGGCGACCACAGTCCACTGTGTTTGTGCAGGTGTTGTGTTGCTTGTTGTAGCTGAAGTTATGGCCTCAGCTAGGCCAGACAGGTCCAGGCTTGCGCCCTTCCCTGAGCGCTGGTTGTCCCCCCCAGAATACGCGGGACAGACCAAGCTAGGCTTGGTGAGGGATTCTTCGCTATTCGCGATACCCTCCTGGGGTACTGTTTTCTCTTTCTCAGCACTCATGTTTTAGGTTTGGGGCTTTGGCGGGAATGCCAAATAACGCACACGACTCCTGCCCAAGGGTGTGTGGTACAATATTTTAGGGGGTATTTAGTTCCCCTAGGCCATGTGAGCCCGGGTGTGGATATGCGCCGCCACGGTTCGGCTATGCGGGATTTGAGGTCCGGCCAGAGGTTTCTGTTACGTCAATTACAGAAGGTATTTGACCAAAAACGGGCGGCAACCTCGTGAAGGATAGTCCTCTGGCCTTGATTAGGGGATCCTTGCGACTTGCGCTACTTCCTAACCCGTTCGCCAAACCCAGTATCGGACAGATACTGAGAGTAGGTGATCATCAAGCAAGTTTCTTGTTTGACCATCCCCCGCCCATTCGTGACCTATAGCGTCTGAGGCTGCTCGCCGCCGAAGGTGGCGAGCATAAAGTTGAAGCTGCGGAGGGGAGCATGAATGCCTGTGAGCCTTTGTTACGCAAGGTCGGAGGGGCTGCTAATCCCGCAGCGTCGGAGATGATGCGGAAGTGCAGTGTATAACAAAAAAAAATGGTAGAAAACTTTAAAGACGCATATATTCCTCCTTTATCTCTTCTTTGAAAAAACTGAAAATTGTGGGCATGCACTTTGTTTATTTTGCCTTATCTAAAAAAAAGAGAATATAAAAAAAAAGCAATGTGATTTGTCAAAATGGTGTTATTTATTTACTAGAAAAGTAATATTCAATATTTTATTTTTCTCAAAAACTATTAGTGTGCTGGTGTTGAGACTTTGCATAGAGACTTCATTGACAGAGACCTTTTCACCCAAAAATAGTGAAGTGTTAATTCTTGGGCCCTGGAAGTACAGTTTTATCCAAAAAACCGAAACTATCCATATTTATTTATTATAATGTTTATATTACAGGGAACAGTTCAAAATCGAGTCCCAAATTTTGATCATTCTTTCAATCATGTTGATCTGGGTCACAGTATAGAACAATCAATGAAAAATGCCCAAAAAGAGATGCACCACAAAAGAATACAATCTTTGAGAAAGGAGTTAGATTATTTAAAATCCACTGAATGGGAGTTTGAGTATGATAAAGGTTTTGTGCAGTAAATAATATACCTGATTCAGTATGTTTTCATTCGTAAAATCATTATTTTCTAACTTTTTATATAATGAAAAGGATGATGGTGGTGAAGATTATAATAAGGAAGACTTTTTAGCTGATCAACTTGTTGAGTTAGAAGCTCTTAGCTTTGATGAGCAAAAATATGACAACAATGATTTTGAGAAGTCTGACATACCAAGAGATGCTAAATGCTTTGAACGCACAGGTTGTATTAAATTTAAAATAGTTAAATATAACATTTTCTCTAGTCCGTTTTTCAAGTTCAGTCTTGACCATGTTGATGGTTAAAATTTTACATTGGTGTTGTATTGTATATTTTTCAAATTATATTCCTTTAATCTTACATTTTGGTTGTTCAAAGATTTTTTTAAGTTAGTAATAATAATAATATTTAAATACTTTTTCTGAGAAAATATGATTTCTCAAAGATAGATAGATGTTAAAACTAATGTGTAAGGATATGCTATACTAGTAAAAGTATGTAATATCACAAATATAATGTTGCAAAATCCCTTTATTTATTACAAATACTTTTTTTTTACCTATTCAAACAATAAATATGATACCTACATTATTTTACAAAAATTGCAGGTAACCAAAACTTCTGTAAATAATGTCAATATTAAATATAAAGTGTACTACAGAGTAATTTGCATATTCCTTTGTAAAAAAAAAGTGTTCTAAAAGTTTTTTTTTTTTTTCAGGAATTATAACATACATGAGTGATAATGATTACATCCTGATTGATGGCATGCTGCATTTTGATATCTCCACTTGTTCTGTAAATGTAAAAATCAATGATAAAGTTTTATACCTTGCCTACTGTGATCCAAATGATAGAATCGTAGTAGTGAGAATATTAGAGAACCAAGGTATAAGTTGGGGGGAAGAGGAATTTGTTGAGGAAAACAATTTTGATGTTATACAGCATGTCATTGTCGGTGAAGTTGAACAGAGGCAGGAACGTTTTGTTTATATAAAGGATAGTGATCTCAAGTTTAGCCTTGATAATGTTATTTCCACTTTAGTGCCTATCAAAGGAGATTGGTTAGAGTTAAATTGCAAAGTTCAATGGGATGAAAATAAACCACATGATATATCCTCTGCACAGGTGATAAATATATAATATAATCATTATAATTATTGGCATTTTTATAATGCATAGTTAAATAGTTCCAATTAATTTCCAGGTTTTAGAAGTCCTCTCTATTCAAGCATTAAGAAGTAAATCTAAAAATGCTGTTATCACTGAATGGTTAGGAGATCATGGAATTGTTGACAGACACATCTATTTCAACAGAGAGTGTTTAGAAAACAACATTGAACCACAAGTAGGGGCAAAGGTATAAACTGTTTAAAAATTGTTCTGAATGAATTGTGGATTTAGTATTCTTTTCAAAGCTTTTCATATTTTTTATCCTTTTTATGCATGTAAAATTGGGTATAATATTTTACTTTGCTTGTAGAACCAGTCTTTAACCACATTTTTTAATAAATACTTTTTACAGGTTATTGTTGATATAATTGAAAGTAATCAGGGATCATACACCTGGAGAGCTACTAAATTGGCAATAACAGATTCTGCCACTGCTGTAGATACACAATCAAGTAAATTAGATGAAGTAGAACAGAGTCTAATTATGGAAAAAGAAAGGAACATTGATATATCATTTCCTTTAAAATTTGATAATATTGATATTCAGAAAACTGCTCAAATGAAATTAGTGGTAACTAATAATAGTAATGAAATCCAAATTATAAATAAATGGATAATGCTTAGCAGAAAAAGAGATTCACAAGTGAACATAGAACCTCTTTTAACACGTCCTAGAAGACTTAATCCTAAAGCATCTTTTATATTCACTGTCTCATGTCACCCGAAATTTTTAGGTAATGCTAAAGAATGCCTGATAATAATGTTCAAAGGATTCCAAGCTAAAAGATTTATAGAAATGAAAATTATTAGTGACAGTTTTTCTTTGGGAACTATTAGAAATGAAAATAATTTTGTCAAAGCAGAACATGAAAAAATTGACTTGCTTAAAAAAATTAGAAGAAATGATAACCATGCATTTGTACCAGGAGTAAAACCATGCAAGCCACCAGCATTTATTCCAGTAAGAATTGGCAATTTCCCAGTGCCACAAAAGATCTGGTCTGCTATTTTAGGTAATTCAGAACAAGCATTATGGAGTTCAGAATATGATAAAATAATAAATAGAATTGAAGATGCTCTACCCTGCTTAACACAGGAATTGCATATAAATAATTATATTGACAAATGGCATACTCTGCTATATATGGAAGAAGTACAAACCAATATTAATATGAGGAAATATGATATGAGTAAAGTATTCCTCATACGTTGTCAAGAATATCTTGGTATTGAAATAAAAGACTTGGCTGAGCAAAGACCGTCTTTAATTAAAGGAGACAGAGTTGTTGTGAAAGATGAATGGAATACTAATACTCCTCTGTATGAAGGTTTTATTCATTTAATCAAAGGAGATCTAGTTCTAATGAAGTTTGATCAGAGGTTTCATGAAACATACATGGGAAGTGATGTTTCAATTGAATTCCATAACAGTCGTTCAGTATATAGAAGGTCTCACCAAGCCATTAATTTGTCTTTGTCAAATCTTGGAACAAATGTTTTATTTCCATGTCGTGTAACCCCACGGCCCAGTCAAATACCTGCCGAAAAAATGGATCAAATACAATGGTTTAATAATTCATTAAACAAAGGTCAAAAAGCAGCTGTCCTGAATATTTTAGCTGGTGAATGTAGACCCTTACCTTACTGTATATTTGGACCACCAGGTACTGGCAAGACAGTTACTGTTATTGAAACTATATTACAAATACTAACATCAATGCCTGATAGTAGGATTTTAGTAGCAACACCATCTAATAGTGCAGCCAATTTAGTCACAGAAAGATTATTAAAATATCAACATCTAATTTATAATTCTATAATTAGACTTATAGCTCACTATTTGGTTGATTCTGAAAACATTCCGGAAATAATAAAACCTTTTTGTGCCACTCTGGACTTATCCACAGAAGATACAAGTAAATCACGGCATGTTGTTAGAGATGGAATTAATTTACAATGCCAAAAAACATTTATAGGCCGACATCGTGTTACAATTGGAACTTGCCACTGTCTAGGAACCCTGGCTCAGATGGGTCTCCCTAAAGGGCATTTCACACATGTAATAGTGGATGAAGCAGGTCAAGCAACAGAACCAGAAATCATGATACCAATGACATTTATAGATAAAGAAAATGGACAGATAATTCTTGCTGGGGATCCAATGCAATTAGGACCAGTAATTATGTCCAAGTATTGCACTGAATTTGGAATGAATGAATCCTATTTATCCAGAATACTGAAGACATTTCCTTATCAAAGAGACTTTAGTGCGTTCGAAAATGGATACGATAAAAGAGTAATTACAAAATTGACTGACAATTACAGGTCATTAGCTGAAGTTCTAACCTTACCGAGTCAAATGTTTTATGATGCTTCGCTTGTAGCCAAAATAGATAGAACTCAACCATGGATATCAAATTTAATAGAACTTTTTGGGAATATGTTTGATAAGAGTGACACAAAAACTGGTGGTATTTACGTCTATGGTATAAGAGGTTGTAACACAAGATCACAGGATAGTCCATCTTGGTACAATCCGCAAGAAGCATCTATGGTGGCTTTGACAACTTGTAAATTGTACAAGAATAAAGTTAACCCTGATGATATAGGTGTTATTACTCCCTATATTGCTCAGGTAAATAGTCTAGTGATAATATTGAAGTATATAATTAATTTACGTACCTTCCCAGGGTTAAACTGAAAGAGCAAACTGTGCACAATGGACATACATTTTGAATGGTTATTAGAATTATTACTATATTAGAAAGTTTTGGTCACAAAATAGTTTTGACATAACATGAACATACATACTAATTACACTAAATATTATAAAAATGTCCTCCGGCGCGTGTTCACAATCATAAAACAAATGAACGGATTTTCATGTAGTTTTATAATTGTTTAATACAAGCAAAGCTGAAGAGAAGGGATGATACCGAATATATTACAATATACCTAAGATATGATTTTTCAGTTGTTAAATTCGTAACAGTAGCATTTCTTTTAAGTTTAGTTATGACAGTTAATTATATTTTACAGATTAAGTATTTGAAGCTAGTCTTTGAGGCCATGGGCTTACCTCAACCGAAGATTGGAACTGTGGAAGACTTCCAAGGGCAAGAAAGACCTATTATACTAATATCTACAGTCAGATCCACTGAGGCATATTTATTGGAAGATCAACGACACACTTTAGGCTTTGTAAAAAACCCTAAAAGGTTAAATGTCGCTCTCACTAGAGCTCAAGTTATAGCCATTTTATTTTGTGACCCCCATTTATTGTGTAAAGATATATTGTGGAACAAAATCATAACCCAGTCAGTGAATGATGATAAATATATGGGTTGCGATTTACCTTATCATTTGCAGTAATTCCTATTAAAATTATATGTTATGAATCAGTTGTTTTATTATCTTAAATAATACTAGCTGACCCAGCGAACTTTGTACCGCCATAAAAATAGGTGGTAGAAGAGAAAATTAAGGGTTGTATTGTATGCAACGATATTAAATCCCTAGATACATCAGCACGAACAAAATCATACCGGAAACCTGTCCAAAAGGTACATTGGACGATCCACGGATCTCCGTAAGATGATCGCGTAGTCTAAACAATAAAAGCATTATTTAAACATTGAAAATCGCCTTTAGAGCACACTGCATAAGGTCTTAATTAAAACTCATGCGTCAAAGAGTTCCGACAATCTGACATGTAAACTCGTAAAATTTTACGAATTATTGCTATAAGTGTAAGAATATAGACCTTATTTCAGTGACTACGCGCAATTCTGAATGGCTGTTAGCAATATAGCAGGAACGGACCGCGAGGAAAAGAGACGGCTAATATAGCCGACCGACCATGCATTTAAATATCATAAATACTTTCTATTAAATCAATTTATAGTAAGTATTAAAACAAAATTAGCTGCAAATGCGTTAAATTTCATCATTCATTTAGAGTGCCACTGTTCTAAATTTGAACTACAGTTTATTAAAAAAGTCGAGTCACGACTTTATAGACAAACTGTAGTGTTCTATCAATTTCCTGGGATAACATTCCTCCTGTAATCCATATGAGAGCACTACGTTACAATACCCAATAGTTTGAATTTTGGCGCGAATGCGCATTGTAGGTTTCAGAACACTACGTTACAGGTGGACAACTATTATCACATAAGGATAAGCAAAATATATAGTAAGTAGCCGATTCCCAGACCCACGGAATAAGCATTTAAAATTTCATAAAAATCGGTCTGGCCGTTTCGGAGGAGTATCGTAACTAACATTGTGACACGTGAATTTTATATAAAAGAAGTAATGAGATTTATATAATAATAAGTAATATATTTGGATACAGGTGTCGATCTCCTCTTCTCTTCTGTTGGTGTTTGTTACCGTACAGTCCAGGGTGTCAATTGCCTAACGGGATCGTTATGGCTATGGCTATCGCATACAATTTCATTTTGTTATTTCTGACCACCGAAGGTTTTCATATACCTCACGCTCATTATCTTTAATATTGTTATTAGGGGCCAACCCTAAATTGTGTCACACGTTACGGGGGAGGGCGGGGGTCGACGAAGTGTGACAAGGGGGTGGGACGGGGCCTAAATTTCGTGACTTCACATTTCAAAATCTATTTAAAATCTATTAAAATCTAAGTGTTGAAACTATTACTTACTTTACGAAAACATTTACAACCCAAACGAGAATAAAATGGTGCTATGCCAGTTAACTGCTTCGAGTTTTACCTTTAGACCAACGATATTAAATACCCTCTAGATACATCACGTGCGCTCAAAATGTGTCCCTATCAAGAAGTGCTTGAACACGACTCAAGCACTTCTTGGTTCACAGTCACGCGCGGACCGTTGTACCTGTACGGTCAACATGCCGTTGAGGTCCGTGAAAAAATGGGAAATAAATATTATTTTATAGATGTAAAATGACGTTTTTTAAACAGGTAATTAATCTGTTTGTTAATTTAACGCATTTCAAGCAAATTTTTGTTTTAATACTTACTATAAACTGATTTAATAGAAAATATTTGTGATATTCAAATGCATGGTCGGAAATATAGCCGTCACCTTTCTTCAACAGCGCATTCGATATATATCAATAAGTTATGACATACTGTATCTCGATATGGGGAGGTGCTGCAAAGACTAAGTTTATAGAAGTAGAAAGAGGTCAACGGTGTTTGCTAAAAGTAATGTATTTTAAACCTTACAGATTTTCGACAAATGAACTTTATGAAATAGCCAATTTATCGACTGTGCGTCAACTTTATATATTGATTGCAATCTTAAAACGCCATAAATACTTGCCATATGAACCTAAGATAACTCAAAGAAGAAGAAAATGCATAAAAATCTCTCAGCATAACACAGCCTTTGCTGGGCGGCAATTTGATATACAGAGTTGTAAAATTTACAACGAAGTAAATAAAAAGCTAGGTATATCTAATCTAAATATGTATGATTGTAAATAAATGTACTTACTTGGTTAAAAACTAAGAACTATAATGATACTGAAAACTTGCTTCAAAATTTGTAATAATCAAACACACACACACACACACACATACACACACACACACATACACACACACAAACATAACAGATATATTGAACACTTTAGACTAAACATACAAAATGTAAAAATCGTTATATATTTGTAACCAATATGGTATTAAGTTTGGAAAAGTTATGGAAGAGCGAGAGTTCCTGACACAGGTAAATAAACTTGTCTACTAGGGATTCTCAAATATTGTATCACTAGCATAATATTGGTTATAGAAATAAAGTAATTTTGATTTTTTTTTGAATAAGTCGTAAAATTGTGCGAGCTTACATCTCGGACTGTCATAACTCTTTAACCCATGCGGGTTAATTGAGACCTTACGTAGTGTGCTTTAAAGGTGTTTTCAATGTTTAAATAATGCCTTATATTGTTCAGACTACGTGATCATCTTACAGAGCTCCGTTGATCGTCCAATGTACCTTTTGGACATGTTTCGGGCATGATTTTGCTCGTGTTGGTGTATTCAGGGTATTTAACATCGTTGCTTTAGACATAATCTTAGTAATCCATGTGTTTGACAGTATTATTCGAAATTCGCGCGCCCTCGTTCATATTGTGAAAAAAATTTACGTTCATAAAGATAGTTCGAACCATCAATTTATTCGTCATTATTTCCATTCAAACCCTAATTTGCTTAGGTACAGTAGAATACAGTATTTGAACTATTACAGGTAGCTTTCCAATTACAGCATTATAGCGCATTATGCGGCATAATGCTTAACGTTGAGTGTTCCAACTACAGCAACACTTCGCACAATTGAGCACTCTCAAAAGTGATGCTTTCGTGTGATGCGTGCACGGTTCACCGTACCAACTTAGAGACAGAAAATTAACAAGTATTTTTTCTTTAAGTTGACATTGATCGAAATGTTTTAATTATAAGTTATCGTTAGTAATATTATTTATTGTTGAAAAATTATTAAAACTCGTTTCGTCATAGTTTTTTCTTTAATAATCAAAGTTAATTCAAACTGTGTTAAAAATTAAATATAAATATGGATGAAGGTACAAACATTGACTTAGCGCACTCTGCTGGTGCATTTGAAAACTAATTCACGTTCCAATTAAGAATCAGCATAATTCGGCATTGTGCGGCACTGAGTTGCATTATGCTCTGTAATTGGAAAGCAACCACAAAAGGCTTCTCACATTATCGTCTGCTCTCGCTAAAATCCTATATATATGGCTAGAATAGACCCCATGTAATCAAAAATAATGTCATGTCAGAGTGCCAACTTTTATTACTATCCCTGTGAACGGACAGTGTAATGTCATGTGTGTCATTTCGACAGTACACGGGAGGGGAGATTATTTTTGTTTCTGTTTTATCATTTCCTGTGTCTTTAATATAATGTTATTTTCCAAATAAATAATAAATGACGTTGAATTGTGTATGTTAAATACTATTAAAGTAATTTTGAAGAATGGAAGAAAATTTAAATGGTGTTGTATTGTGTGACAACCTTATCAAATGGTTACAGACTCTGAATCTTACGGCTAAACATGGAAATCCATCTGGTATACCTGTTTTGTTAAACTTTTGGTTTATATAATCCTAACGTGTTACATGTATATTATTACTAAGTACCCATAAAAACTGACCGACATTTATTACATCCGTGTTTTGTGGTGACCATTAAGTGGATAATTTCGTCACATTGTTCTTGCTCTTATTCGATTGGTACATCGCTTGATTCGTTTCAACCGTGTTGTTACTCAATCCACAATCTTTTTCAAAGTGACCACATACATTATGCTGTAGGTATTATGTTCCAGTGATTAACTAGGGGGTCACAAACAATATTGCATTATCTTTTCCATCTTCGGTAACCTGCATGAACTATCTACTATGATTCTATTATCATATTATTTAATATCAATTAAAATAGTGTTAATGGTAACAATATTTGAATCCAGAATTGTCTGATGGAGTGGCAATAGCAGAAGCATTAACACAGATTGCTCCTGAATACTTTACTCCGTCATGGAATTCAAAAATAAAAACTGATGTTGGCAATAATTGGAGGCTAAAAGTGAGCAACCTAAAGAAAATATTGGAGGGTGTTGTTGGTATGTTTGTGAATTAAAAAGTTAGAGTAATATTTATTATTTTTCATTTTTGATGATCACTAAATGAATACTATATTGGCTGTGAAAACAAAATTTCTAAATACATATATTAATTGAAATTTCATGGTATATAAATAATTAGTATTTAATTTACTGGTTACTTTAATTTTGCATAATTTATATATCTACTTTTGTTGCTTTTTTGGTTTTATTAGTTTGAAGTAATAAGTTTGAAAACATTATCAATATTTTCAGACTATCACCAGGATATCCTGAATCTGAGTTTACAAGAATTTTCAAGGCCGGATGTAGTAAATATTGCTGAAACTGCAGATCAGTCTGATCTAGGCAGATTATTGCAACTTGTCCTCAGTAAGTATAAAATCCATCTTGTATGAGTTTTTTTTATATAAAAAGGATTTGGAATTGCATTAAATTTAGTATATAACCTGCTTGATAGTAAACATTATATGTTGTTAATTTAATCAATTCTTTTTTTATTAGGTTGTGCAGTAAATTGCATAAAAAAAGAAGGTTATATTACTCGTATTATGGAAATGGAGCTATCATGCCAGCGTTCAATAATGCAAGCAATACAGGTAAATGTTTAGCCAATCGTTTATTGCAAACTAAGTATACATTAGCTGGAAAATTACAATATGAGTACTTTCAAACCGAGTCACTATTTTTAGACACAGCAAATTGTTAGAGGGCTTATATGATAATATAATATAATAGATAATTTAACTTTATAATCAATAATAATCAAAAATATTTGAGGTACACCTCATTATCGTAAATTATATTTGTTATGCTACCCATATAATTACTGGATATGGGAGCTATTACTGCAATACAGTTTATTAATATTATATAGATTAGTGTTTTCCTTAATATATAATAAATTGTGACATACATTTGTTCCCAAATATATAAGTATGACATATATAATAATAGGAACATGTTTTTGAATTTGTAAGTATCAAACAACACTTTTGTGCACTTTTTTTAGGTTTTGCTGTCGTGAAAAACGAGCATAACAATCTCTCAACTTTATAGAAATAGTTTTAATTATAAAATAGATAATATAAACATAAATCTTTATCTGTGAGTTGGCTGAATGCAGGCCGTTACAACAGACGAAACAAGAGTATAATTAAGAAAGTGTAATGGTAAAGATATGATTGTATTAAATTATTTATTTACTATTTATTTATTACTATATAAAGAATAAAATGAAAGAGTAGGTAATGAATAAATGTAGCAGAGCAGTCTGATCTACTTTGGCAGCATCAGCTTAGGAGCATGACTTAGGAACCAATAATTGCTTGATTAATCATAATTCTTTGGAACATACTAATCTGCTACATAAGACACATATAGTATACCATAGGATATCCAGTTAATTTTACAAGACAGCAGATATAATGAATATTTATTTTTTATTTATTTAACTTAACACCATAGGCTTTCTTTACCATTCAACCAGTTAGGATTAGGATGTTGGAGATGAATGGTATGGGGCAGTAGAATAAAGATAATAGAAATTATAATTTTATAATTATTCAGCGAAAATTTATTTATTTGTTATCTGAACAGGTTTAATTTTTATTTCATCGCGTCACCGTTCTCGATACTGGACGTCTGTCGCACAAAAATATCTAACTATGGCATATTAAAATGGAAAAAGGTTAGAATTGAAACGGGTGGCCAGGGCCAATACTTTTCCACCACTGAATTTGTTACTAGTCCAAGATCCCAGTCACTCCAGCCTTACGTAATTTTAGGAAAGGTAAAATTTTTAGGAATATGTATGAAATTAACTTACAAACGAATGGATGATAATGGCTAAACTAAAAGCGGGACTACTTCATATTAAGCCGGTATGAAAGGTGGAAAAAATATGGTAACTTACGTTAAAGATACTTCCTGTAGGCCATAGCTTTTGCCAGACACTTTAAAAGTCGTTAAGTACAATTTGGTTGGGTCCAACAAACCAATCACAATGTAATTGGAACGTATGGCGTTGTTATATCTTACAGTGCTAATAGGTGTTCCTAGATCGCGCCGCAATATATTTTAATTGATAGTCTAATATTAATTTCATTATTATCTGACATAAGTTATACCCACAGAAAGTGTCTGGCTACCATGTGTTTGTTTACAATAATATCTTATATAACATATATAAAAACTAGCCTTCCTACTTTGACGTAAGTAAACATAATTTTTTCCACCTTTCATATCTGCTACCTATGGAATAGGCCTTTTTTATATCTGGAAAAAGATTCACGCCTCGCTGAATCACCGGGAGTAGCGCGATCAAGGTTTGATGGAATGAGTAGGGGCCCAGTAAAAACCAGATAAAAGTCCTGCAACGGTTACCCGACACGCACTCTGAGGACCGAGGTCCTCCGAATGCGTGACTCTTTTTCCATGTGTAAAAAAGACTTATTCATATGTAGCAGATAATATGAAAGGTGGAAAAAATTATGCTTACTTACGTCAAAGTAGGAAGGCTAGTTTTTATATATGTTATTATTATAAACAAACATATGGTAGCCAAACGCTTTCTGTGGGTCATAACTTGTGGGTCACTTTAAGGAGGTCCTTACTTACTGGCCACGCACCACTTTTAGCTTTTAGCTTAGCGAGTACCCGATCGTTTCTAATACCGATTATAAAAAATCATTTTTCCTAAAATCACGTAAGTCTGGGGTGACTGGGATCTCACTCTTCAGTTATTCTAAATCTGACATGCTTGGTTTTCATACAATTTGAATCTTGAATCTTAGTCTGAGGAAACAATCTTTGTTATTCTGGTTTAGTTTTATAAAGGTCAAACCTGTTGCAACTGAAAGGCATATCTATTTTTAACATGTAAAATGTAAAATGAGTAATTTCACCTCAACCCAAAATTATAAAGTCTAATTTGGGAACAAGAACTTAAAAGTTATAATAGTTAGTTTTTGTTATACAAATAATAAAAACGGTGTCATTAAGCTCTCGGATTGCTCACGTATCTACCTAAAATTTGAATAAAAACATTAGTAGATTGTAGGTATTATCTCGTAAGCCAAGCGCAACTAATTAGTTTACACTCATTAATAATTATATAACTTAAAGTAATTGTTTAAGTCAAGTCGAGAGGGTTATTTTTTCTATGAGCAAACACAATACGTATGAACGTTGCAAAATTTTATATTAAGAATGCATTCTTACTCAACAGCACTTTCGAAGTAGCGTGCTCATTACTCGCCATTTTTAAAGAAACCGAATGTTTTAGTTACGGTTTTTTCCTAATGTCCTTGTATCACGAAAGTGCTGTAATAGGTATCAGTCAAATTTTGAATGCGGTTGTGTATTGACAGGTGAATTGTGTGTTGTGTGATGTTGTTTAGGAACTGGAGACATTGACACTGAGCGTGAACCGTAGCAGTTTGCACTTGGAGCCGGCGCCGGTAGAACAGATTGATGCTGACATGAAAGAAGTGCTTGCGCAGCGATGTCATGAATTGGACACAAAGGTAAGTGTTTAGCTTCTACCTATAGTCACATTTACCAGCGTGTACCAGCCCCTCTAGCATGAGCACTGCGAAATAATTAAAACGTGTTTTTTATCACGCTCAATTGTCAAATTGCTATGGAATGTTTGACAGTTAGACGCGATAAAAAACGTGATATAATGTAAATTGTTGTGCTCATGCCACGGGGACTGTTGTCAAATTACTATGGAGTTTGACAGTTCTAGACGTGATAAATAAACGTGATATAATGTAAATTGTGGTGCTCATGCTACGGGGACAGGCGAATCTGTTCTCGTACCAATAACGGCGAGATTAGTTTGTTGACATATAGTTTGACAGCTAATGCATTTTTATTTTCGCTAAAAATTACAATGCTCATGTATTATTTTTTTCAATTGGAATGGAAACGTTTTATAGAAATTACAAGTGATTTACACATGTAAATTATGAGAGTAATACTTTATTAAATTTTAAATATTGGTGTGTAAATCTACTTATTTTACAATACTGTTTTGTAAGCCATGATTCGACTTAACTTAGAGTCAAAAGTTCTGTGGGGCTTATATAAAGTACCTCTGCTATGGTTATACACTTCTGGACACATCTATTGGCCCAGCTAAGAGTTTAGGTTTCGATGGCCCCTACCGAAATATGATTGCTAGATTGAACAAAAACTGTTGATGCAGTTTTAAACCTGATACATTTTACCATCTTTTTCGATCGTATTGTTTTAAATTTGAATTCAGAATACCATACGACATGGAGCTACGCCTAACAAGTCGGATATGCGCCTTGTTAAAGGCAATTGATTTTTGAATAAAAAACATGTTTTATCAAATAAAGGTTTAATTTAATAACGCGTGTTACCTCCATGGGCATCTACCACAGCTCTCATACGATTAGGCATAGAGTTTATCAACCGCTCTATGAAATTTTGAGGGATCATCTCCCATTCCTCTTTTATGGCAGTTTTCAACTCCTGCATCGTCTGGGCAACTGGCTGACGAGCCCTAACACGTCTTTTTAGCTCGTCCCACATGTGCTCAATGGGGTTCATGTCTGGGCTTCTGGCTGGCCAGTCCATAACTGTGATGTTCACATCCCGAAGATATTCCCTGACGATGCCGGCCGCATGGGCTCTTGCATTATCATGCATAAAAAGGAAATTTGGGCCCACATAGTCCGCGTATGGTATCACGTGAGGTTCTAAGCACTCACGAATGTACCTTTCAGCATTTAATGTTGGCAGCCGTGGTCCTGTAACAACCTCAAGTTGAGTTTTGCCGCTCGCGGATATACCGCCCCAGACAGTCCATTTGCCACCGCCATAAGCAACCCTCTCTTCAAAGCAGCATTGTGCGAAACGCTCTCCCTTACGTCGGTAGACCTTCTTCCTTCCATCATTGCCATGTAATACAATTTTAGACTCATCAGAAAAGAGTACACGGCCCGAATCTTGCTGTGTCCAATTTAAATGACTGCGTGCGAAATGAAGGCGCGCTGTTCGGTGGGCTCGCGTTAGTTTGGGCCCATTAGCTGGCTTGTGTGGTACCATATCGCGTTCTTTTAACCTTCTCCGAACAGTTCGAGCGCTCACAGATACTCCGTGGAAGTCGCGAATTTGTTTTTGTATCTCAATATAGGTAAGGTGACGATTTCTCAAGCTGGTCGTCACGATGAATCGATCCTGCCTTTCAGTTGTGACCCGAGATCGTGGCCTTCCTTGGCGACGAACAAAGCCGCCAGTCTCTAGGTACCTCCGATAAACATTTCGGACCGCAGATCGACTTAAATTAAGTTGAGCACTCACGTTTCTTTGGCTGTGTCCGGCCTGAATAAGTGCCACATCTTGGGCGGCGACTTCAGGTGAAGTATCCATAGACTATTGATAGAACCTCACCTTAATGTTAAGAATAAGTAATGTTTGTTGCAAAACCTAAAATATCAATCACTTTTTCAAGAATTAAATCCAAGTAAACCAATAAAACCAAGTTTTCTTAGTCTTCGATTGTTTGATATCAACAAACAGGCTCCAAATTGTCTTTTGTTTCTTTAAATTCTGTGTTCGAAATTCAAAAAAAGACTATTCAATGGAATTGTGAATGTGCCAGGTTCAAAACTGCATAAAAACTTTTTGCTCAACCTAATATAAAATTTTAGCTAGGACCAAACGAAACTGAAAATACAAGGTGGGCCAATAGATGTGTCCAGAAGTGTATTTTGTATGCATTAGAAATGTTAAGGGGTATAATTTCATTTTATATATGACGCTCACTGAACTGAAAAATAAATTAAATAATTATGATTTGGTGATTAAGATAACTTTTACCTCGCGATTTTTATTTAATGTAATATTTTAACTGTACTCATCGTAAACGTAGTTATGATTATTTAATAGATAAATAGATGTTCCCTAAGTTATACCTTGAACGAACGAAATCATAGGTATATTTACGGATGTCCGTTTTGAAATGACTTGCAACAAAGGCCTTCGAAAGAAAAAAGAAAGAAATAGTTTTATTTGAGACAACAAAAAAAAAAACAATAATATAAAAAATAAAATAAAACAATTAAATTTAGTCTCAAAACGGTCCCAACTCAGTGCTAATGTTGCCATTAGCGCTGGTCTTCGGTTGGAACCGGTTCGGACACAACTTCGCTCGCAATCTTCATACTATTGACTCAGTTCTTTATCGAAATGCAACTTTTATTATTTTAACTTTTTCGGCTAATTAATCCATTTAACATAGCCGATTTGGTGTACTTTTAAATAAATTTTTGGATTGGAGAAGCTTCATTACAGTCTAAAATTCAAATACTTCTGTAAAATAGTTCAGATAGGTATCTATCTATTTACATTAAAATGGCAAACGTGTTAAGAGTTTTAAAGGTTACTTAATTGATGTTCGGTACAGTCGCAAGAAGTTAAAATCAAACATTAAAAACTATTTACGAACTATCTCCTGTAAAATATTCGGAAACAATATGACGCTAAGCTGTTTAAGGCACGTATTAATAGACCGCTCTCAAATGCGAGAGCGATCTTGAGACGTTGTTTTGTATGAAAACAGTATCTCAAAACCGACTCGTAGTAATTACTGCCGAACATTCGTTTACACATTTTCGATTTAACCGCCCGGCTGTGCCGATTAATGCCAGCTCGCTTATATGTGTAACTACCCTAATGTATCACTGTAGGAGGGTTTTTCCACCAATTGCATAAAGACATGGCTAATTGATTGCATAGACAGAGACAATGGACTGAGAGACTAAGTTAGCGAACTCTAGTTAAATTTTTTAGAGGCCTGTCCCTTACATTAGAGACAGGACTCTAATAATAGCTTTTTTGCCTGGATATTTTAATTAGATTAGATTATAATAACAAATTTTGATATGAAATGAAACCATAATAAGGAGATGTATTATTAAAAAGAGCGTAAGTCCACGATGATTTGTCGTTACTTAGGTGAAAGTACTTCAAGAGGAGAAGATGACTTTGCTGGGTGAGGTCGCTCGGCTTTCTGCTGCGCAGGACGCGGCGGGAGGAGACGACGCGTGTGAGTTGGACGACACGGGCGCGTCGATGGGCCCGGCGCACGCGGGTACCTTGCGGTACAGCAAGATGCGTGCGCAACTCAACGCGCTCAAAGATGAACTAGACAAGGTTGAGCTTCAGAGAGACGATCATCGCGCTCGATGCGATTCCCTGGAAAGGGAGCTGGCGATACTCAAGCTCAGGAATGAAGAATTACAGGTGAGATTTAACGAGTTCTGGACGACTCGAAACAATTATAGTATAGACCCAGCGTGCAGGCACCCTGCAGTACTGCAACATGCGCGCGCAACTTGACGCACTCAAAGATGATCTAGACAAGGTTGAGCTTCAGAGAGACGATAATCGCGCCCGGTGCGACGTCCTCGAGAGGTAGCTGGCGATATTCAAGCTCAGGAATGACGAGTTGCAGGTAAGACTTAGTGCATTATGGATAAGTCACAAATATTATTTAGACCCAGCATGCGGGCAGCCTGCGGTACACCAAGATGCGTGCGCATCTTGACGCGCTCAAAGATGAACTAGAAAAAGATGAGTTTTAAAGAGACTCTTGAGATACACATGCTCAGGAATGAGGAGTTGCAGGTAAGATTTAGTGAATTATATACAAATAACTACAATTATTTTGACTCATCACGCAGGCACGTTGTGCGGTACAGCAAGATGCATACGCAACTCAACGTGCTCAAAGATGAACTAGACAAAGTTGGGCTTCAGATTGACGATCAAGCTCAGGAATGACGATTCGCAGGTAACATTTAGTGAAATGATGGACCAGTCGCAACAATTATTTAGTTCAAAACGAAGCAGAGATTGTAGATACTACAGAAATTAAATAATGTATACCAAGGAATGGGAGTATCGTTCTAGCAAGTTTTGGTCAGAAATGCAGTTCTGTGTGAAATGATGGGTGCCTTTTCTTCAACCACCCGATGATCGGCTATTGCAAAGTTGCACTCGAATCCATCGACAGTCACCGTTTGGGGCCTCTCTGATAAATACGATGCAAACCATTGCAACAATGATCCGCATAATCCCATGTTGTGAAGTTTGGAAAGCAGCACTCTGTGATTGACTTTATATGTGATATAGACGATATATATTTTGATAAGTTTGTCTCCACGGAACGATCACGCATGAAGCCGTGCTGGAAATCTGTTATATTTTTTTCAATATGACCGTATATTAGAGGGTATATAATTGTATGAATCTAATCTGGTTGGTCTAATAGCAATTTTACTGATTAATCTGTGATTACTAGCTGTAGCTTTTATATTATGAATGTTTGATAGATGGCGGCTTCGGAAAACGTTGCGTTGAAGGATGAGGTGGATGCGCTGAGAGAGACTGCTGCTAAGGCCGCAACCCTCGAAGCCACGGTCGCTTCTTACAAGAAGAGGATGGAGGAACACGTCGACTTACGGCGACAAGTCAGTATACTGTATCCCAATGTTAATATCAAAGATATAGGATGTAAAGATAGAGAGAGAGTACCTATCGCAAGGTTTCCAAAAAAATATTGTGCACGTGTGCGTATCGGTGTTTGTTTGTCAGTGATAGTGTCGTTTTGTTTTGTCAAATAACCTGTTTCATTTTAGTGTGCAACCGCGTACGATCGTACGCATTTAACCGCCACAAAATTTCATACTAAAATGGAAAAGTAGCTAACTATTGGTTAGCCACGTAGGCGGCCAGTGATATGCCCACTGCTACGATACATGCCTTCCCTTCTGATTGATTGAGAGATTGGGCCATTACCCACCACACACACGAAAAGCGGATTGGTGCTAACGACTGCAGGATGCAACAGGCAATTGATGCCTGTTGCATCCTGCAACCTCCTCCTCCTAAAGCCATTGGGCTTTACGTGCCTTCTGTAACACGGAGGAGCTCGAGATGATAAAATTTGTTCACCCTTATGTTCGGCCATTGCGAAAGTTACTTAACTGTTACTATTACTGATCTAATACGCGTTAACCACTTGCCCCAACAAGTTCTTCTTTTCTCCAACTTTTTATAGTGAAATGTTAAAAAAAAAAAATGGTGTACTGTGGCCGTTTGTCGACCGCCCCCGTCACAGAGAATGAGATTATAATATACTAGTGGCCCGCCCTCGCTTCGCTTCGGTGTAGAGCTGTAGTGTAAACTATACTTTTTGTTCTCAGGCTTGTGCTATAAAGAATGACTTTATTTATGTAATTACACGTGTTATTGTGAGTCAACCATAAAAGGTAGACATATGCTGTTGCGGGATATTTTTTAGACAATTTTATGTAGAATATTTCCGTCATACATGATTTCTATGTAACTTTAACCATTAAGGCTGCACCCGCGACGGAAGCTTAAAAAATGGAGTAACTACTCCCGTTTTTCCAACATTTCCCTTCACTACTCTGCTGCTATTGATTGTAGCGTGATGAAAAGTATACTATAACCTTCCCAGGAGTATGAAGAATAATTGTACCAAGTTTCGTTAAAATCCGTTGAGTAGTTTTTGAAGTGAAACTTCTTTATCGGCGTTAGAAAAAAATTTACCGTCACATTTTTCGGACGTTACGCGTCACATTTTTCCGTTACGCGCCATCTTTTTTTATATTAATAGTTGATAGCTGAATGATCACACTGTCGCCGGCGAGAACTCTCTCTACTCGTTTGTAGCTGAGTGACAATAGTTATTAAAGATGAGACTCGCTCAGCCAAACTCGCATAGCGATACTCGCTCAGCGATACTCGCTCAGCGATACTCGCTCAGCGATACTCGCTCAGCGGTACTCGCTCAGCGGTTAAGCTGGCTTGGCTGTCAAAAGCCGTGCGCGTGCATTTTAACTCAGGACTGCCAATTCGTTTCTAGTTTCTACTCGCTTATCGTTCATCGTCGGAGGTGGAACATGTGCCTTAGATTACTGAGCCGTGTAATCATACCAGTTTCATAGGCAGTAATTTGTATTCATGTCTATGATAATAAAATCCTTTTGTTTAAACTTTATCTAATTTAACTTTATTTAACCAATTTCTGGAAAGTTGCACGTAGATCATTTTTCGAAAAATAAGGCCATAAAGAAGTTTCACTTATTACGTGTGTACACTAGTACACGCACACATATTTTTTGTTTCTATAAGGAACATACACACAGACAGACAGACAGACAGACAAAAATTTTACTGATTGCATTTTTGGCATCAGTATCGATCACTAATCACCCCCTGATAGTTATTTTGAAAATATATTTCATGTACAGAATTGACCTCTCTACAGATTTATTATAAGTATAGATAATAATAAAATAACTTTATTTCTCACCACAAATGACAAAAAAGGTTTACAAAAATCTTAGGTGAATTATATAATCATGTCGTCATTCGTGGAAGACTGGTGCCCGTGTAGGTTCATAGACCCGTGTAACAGGTCACCAGGCCCCCTTTGTTAACAGAAAATATTACACCTAGACAATGATACTCTAACCCCCTTATTAATAAACAAGGAATAAGCTTAAATTAGGTACGCCGTGTTTTGTTCATGTCACACAAATGCCATTAAAATTTGTCATTCAATAAACAGAGACAAAACATGGAATACCTAATCCATGTGTAATCTTCGTTTATTAATAAGGGGGTAAGGGTTTTATGGTACGCATCGACTAATTATGGATAATATATATAGTAATACTTGACATGTATGTTGATGTCAGTTTGTTTGTATCAGAGAGTGTGTGTGTGTGTATGTAGGTGTGCGTGTGAGTATGTGTGGGGAGTACATATTATTGTATCATGATAAAATCTGATATTATAGCTGGATGAGATGACATGAAGGGCTTGCTTTAGACAAGCGGCTGCAGTAAATGTATGTGCCACTACCTCGGCGCCATCATCACGTTCCCGTTGACGTCCCGGTGACGGCTGCGGTGGATAAATACTCTATGTCTTGGTTGATTTGTAGGTGAAACTTCTAGAACGTACTAACACGGAACATGTTCAGAGAGCAATCGAGCACGAACAAGCGGCGGCGCGCGCTAACGCAATACGGGCACAACTTGACATCTACAAGAAACAGGTTTGTTCATGTCGTCATTTCTTTAGTATTTCTTCTTTCAAATACAGTGCAACCTCGATCTAAGAAATCGGAATGGAATAAGTAAATATTCGTTATATTAAGTAATTCGTTCAACTGAGGTATGTTATATTGAGGTTAGGTTGGTCTAAAATTTGTTATAAAGACATAAAAAAAATAGTTTCCTGTCGTGACATGAATTACGTACCATGGGATTAAGGTCCAAATGTAGATGGAAACGTTATATAGAGGTTTTTGGTTGACAAAATTCGTTAATTAGAGGTATTAACACTTTTTTTTGATAGTTGAAAATTTGTTCTAAAGAGTTTATTCGCAAAAAATGTTCGCAATGTAAAGGTACATTTTACATTGACTCTTATGGAAAATTCGAGGGGATTACGAAGAATTTGTTAAATCAAGGAAGTCGTTATTACTACGTTATATTAAGGTTGCACTGTATATAGATTATACATTATAGTTATCCACAATGTAAATGTGAAGAAATGTCGTAGCTCTGCTGCCTAGAAATACTAATGAAGTTTTAAAGAAAAATTGACTGTCAATTTTAAATACGGCCTCTGGGATAAGTTGCACTTTTTCTAATAAATATTTTCTTTGGATTTCACTATTTTCTACTATTGTTTTGTATCGCCAGGTGACAGATTTGAATGAGAAATTAGACGCGGAGATAACGAAGGCGGACCGTTTAGAAATAGATAATAAGAAGTTGAGCAGCCAATTGGCTTCGGTGCAGCGCGAGCGAGAGACTTTGCTGCAAGAGCGAGACACACTGCGCGAGACCGTCGACGAACTACGATGTTCCACTGTGACGACTGGTGAGCGCAACGATACAGTTTTAATTTTATTTACAGAGATATTTCTATTCGAATTGAACTGCCCGCTGGGGAAAGACTGGATTTATTATCTTTTCTGGCTAAAGTTATAAAATGACATTATCCAAGAAAAATAATAAAACCAGACAGAAAAAAAATAAGTAAATAAACAATAGTACACTGTCAACCGAGAGGAGAAAGTGACCGATTACCTCCGAGGGTATAGTTTGTGCCTTAATATCAGTAATATACGCCGTCTCGAATAGATAGGAAGACAAATTAAAAATCAGTTAAAATAATCAACGCGTTTTTTACCTTTTGTTCTTTTTTCAAAATTAATGTTAAGAAAGTAAATAGCAAAATGTTAAAAAAAAGTTGCTAAATTTGCATAATCATATCAGCTGAACACTTTTCGGAACATTAATTAAAAGAAAACAGCACGTTAACAATGAAAATTCATTGGAAAAACATAGATATGGTAATCATCATCATCATGGAAATCCATAGATATGTTCTGCCCGTTCAGCGCGTTAAAAATTTACATACACTTTTCAAACCCGTACAACTGAGGTAATACTGTGTAAATGGTGAAGGTTTAATTTTTCCTTTTTTCCAAAAATTCCTAAGTGTCATTTATTAACTTTTACAAATGCTTCTTAGAAAGGTATTTCCAAGGAATTTTAAAAGTGTTTTGGAATTATATGTCATAAAATGCATCGGTTTCCCGCATTTAGGTTTGAATATTTAGATTTAAGTACTTGTCGAAAAAAATATACCTATAGCTCACTTTGAATTAATATTAGAAGGTTTTTTAAAGTAGGGGTTTGTTTGTTTTTTTATTAGCTTCAATTTTAGTAATAATACATTTTTTTGTAAAAATTATAGTTTTTGAGTTATTTATGAAAAATCGCTTTAAAACGTTTTTTTATCACGAAAATTCACAATCTTTGATCTTTAATAACTCAGAAAGTATTGATTTATTCCAAAAACTTTATATAACAAATTTTGCTTAGAATTTATCTCTCGATTCTTGGAGTTATTTTTATTAAAATAATTTACACCCCCTAGAAGGGGTGGCATCTACCCCCAGGGCAAAAGTGCAAACTTTTGTTTCTTAAGGTATTTCCCACCTACTCACCAATTTTCATGAAAATCGATGAAGGTTCAACGAAATCGGAGGTTGTAGCTGATTTAGGCCTTCATTGACTGGACTATTCATTTAAGCACATTTTGGAAACCTATAAAATCATTAAAACATTGATTCCCGCATCAGCCTGCAAGATATCGCATAAAAAAATTAAAGGTTTGTAAAAGTTGTCTACATGCTACCGCTATCGTGAAAGGCACATGCGATATATAGACTTAATAAATTTAATATAAGTATGGTGACGTCACGGCTCTTGACTGAGCGCACGCAAAAAAACCTAAGTATAACCGAATTGTTGTTTTGAATTGAATTGTTTGTAACTTGGTATATACTTATTATTGTTTTATTCTAGCGACCGCCTGCGATTTCGTCAGCGTAAACTTCAGTTTTTTGGAAGTCCCACCAAAAACGCTATCGTTTTCCGATAAAAAGTATCCTATGTCTCCGACGACATAGGATATAGGACGACGACGACATTGGACGACCTCCGTGGTCGAGTGGTTCGTACGCCGGGTTTCATGGTGTCGCCGACTCGAGAGGTCCCGGGTTCGAATCCCGGTGGGGGCAGATGTTTGTGTGATGAATACGAGCATTTGTACTCCAGTCATGGATGTTTAATATGTATTTCTATATAAATATACTTATATATGTACAGTATATGTATTCTATCCGTTACCCTAGCATCCCATAACACAAGCCTTACAGTGCTTACTTTGGGGCTAGGCTAATTGGTGTGAGTGTTGAAAATATTTATTTATTTATGTCTCAATCTAGGTCGTACACTAAATGTGTACTAAATTTCATCCAAATCCGTTAAACCCTTTTAGCGTGCAAGAGTAATAAACATCCATTCAAACTATCGAGTTTAAACCAAAACAAGCCAGATACAAAAGGTTTTATTACAAGTTTATACATACTATAATGCGAAAATACTTTTTCTCTAACCTATTATAATACAACGAAGCATTACCAAAATTGTCTGTGTGATGTTGTTAATATTGACACTTTTCTGCATAGTTAAATAAATGAGCTGGATATTGTTTTATTCAATTTGTAAATAAGGTTGCTTTTGTTATTAGTTTTATATACCATAGGAAAAGGTTAGTCCTGAGACCCTGCCTTATTAGAGCTGTCAATTTTATTCGGCTGTCACCAACGACTTAGAAATGATATGAAAGCATTATTCTCTTACAAAGGCCGCTTAAACATGGTTCCAAACTCATACAACTAAACTTCAATACTAACGCGACATGCACACAGACAAAACAAAATACTTTGACAAATCAAATATCTGCATATGTATTCGGCTATCCATTCATTGGGTAATCATCATCATCATCAGCCCATATTAATGTACCCACTGCTGGGGCACAGGCCTTCCCTATGGATAGAATAGCCCACCACGCGGGACCAGTGCGGATTGGCAGGTGCTAACGACTGCAGATGCAGCCGGGACCAACGGCTTAACGTGCCTTTGGAAGCACGGAGGAACTCGAGGTAGAAGATTTTTGGTCACCCATCCAATGACCGACTACTGCGAAAGTTGCTTAACTTCAACGATCGCAGCCGAACGCGCTAACAACCTGCGCCATCGAGCTCCTCCATTGGGTAAGATAATGTCAAACGGAAATCGGAGTTTTTTCGCCCTGCTCACTTGATCGCAGTTTGCTTGGAACCATTTTTAAGCGCAGTTCGTATACCGAAATCGTTTGCTGTTGCTCAGTCTATTCTCTATGTATGCAGCAGTCTTATATAAAAGGTGTCCCACTTGTCAGCGGTGTATGTGTGGGTAGTTTTTGTTTATAATTTAGCATTTTATTTAACTCAGGTGCGAGCGAAGACAATGTATCACGGGAGTTGATACCGAACGAAATAAAGGAACAATTGATTCGTCTGGAACACGAGAACAAGCTGTTAAGGCAAAACCAGGGCGCTCAGGCTGACCAGGCATCAGTTCAGGTGAGTACAGTTCTTGCGCAGTGCTTATTCCTAGAAATTTTCATAACTGTTGCAATGGAAATAAGGTTTAGTTTGTTTTTTAAGCTCTTCTTTTATTTATATTTTTGGGATTGCTTGCCCTTCGGTTGAAATATCAAAGAGTAATACTAAATCTTATCCATCGGTCTGTCAGCGAGATTCACGTATGTACTGTAATAGCGAGACATTTGGAATGTTTAAACAATATTTTTTTATAACGAAAAAAGTCGTTAAATAAGGTTAAAAAATAAAGAAGCATAAGGACCCCTTACAAATAGCCTAACCTTTGCAGCGTCATTTGACTTTAATAATCGCTATATTTCTAAGGTTAGGTACGTTTTTCTAACGGAATTCTATACGTGCGTTGGTCGTTTTTTTTAATAAGTGCAATTACTGAATATTAATAAAGAAGCGACATATTGCTTTATCTTTCTCTAAGTTTTTTAATGCGAGAAAAACCTAAGTGCCTGTCCTGCTGGTAACGTTGAACGGTGCGTTTACATAACGTGCAAACCTGCTCGTAAATTTGCACGTGGAGATGTGGACAGGCCCTGACGTCAGAAAAGTAACATTTTGGCATCTTCTAGGCACTCCTAGAAGACTATGCGGCACGTTTGGAAAAGCAACGCGCTTTGAACCGTGAGGCGAATCAACGCATCATGCAGTTGGAAGCGAACCTGGAAGCGCCGCACCCGCGACTTGCATCCGCCATTGAGGACAGTCAGAGGAAATGTTAGTATTTGTGAACTAAGAACACTTTAAAACAGCAATGTAAATATTTGCTTATATCAACGAATTAGAAATGATATGGAAGCATTACTCTCTAACTAAACCCGCTAAAACATAGTTCCAAATTCATACAGCTAAAGTTCAATACTAACGCGTCACGCACACAAACAAAACAAAATATGTTGACAAATTAAATATCTGCAAATTTATTAGGCTATCCATTCATTGTGTAAGATAATGTTAAACGGAAATCTCATGATTGGCGTGTTGATAGCATTATTTTTTCGCCCCGCCCACTTGATCGCAGTTTGTGTGGAGCCACTTTTAGCGCAGTTCTTATTTCATATTATTTCTAATTCGTTGGCTAATATCCCATCACAACGAAATTAAGTTATGGTATTAAAAAAGAACTATTAATCGCTTTGTAAGAATTGGGTTTCATTCTCTAGGTTCGAATGTAACTTATAATTATTAAAGTTCCGATTCTTCTCAAGTCTTGAGGAGACCCTGATTTCCTTTTCCTTTTGTTCTTGTTATATTCTTAGCGCCACCATAAAATCGCAATGTATCCACCCAACTTATTTATTTACAAAGGTAGTTACGATTATGCGTAAGATCGCTAGTCTGATTCGGCTCGAAGGACTCTTCTCTTGTCAGAAACTACAAGTTTCAAATGTGCATTAGACATTAAATTACGTTTATTTGTAAAAAAAAATATACTCTCATATTCTCAAGCAACACTTCACTAACTTTGGCATAAGCTAAATTCAAATTGTCGGTAGGAACAACAGGGGGCTAATTGCCGGAATTATTTCCGGGATGCCCTATAGAGCCAGAACTAGTGTCAATATGACAAAATCTCTTTCTCGAATTTTAAATGACATGGATCGCGGAAGGAGCGAAAGTTTCAATTAGACCCCTTGTTACTAGTCAGCCGCCTACACTTAATATTTTTTATTACTTTTAATTAAACAAATGAACAACAATTCCCTTTTGTCGGACTTAAAAAAGGAGGTAATTTATTATGATATAATTTTTCGTATAATTGTTTTAGCGTTACAAGTAGAAGAACTCACAGCGGCATTATCAGAAGAACGAAGGCGGACGAGTAAACTGCAGGAAACGCTTTCCGCTCGAGAAACAGAACTGTTGGCTACTGAAGACAAGTATAAGAAATGTGTCGAGAAAGCCAAAGAAGTCATCAAATCCCTGGACCCGAGGGCTACTGGTGAGTGCCAATTAAGTCTTGTATCGAATGGGTACACAATAATTAACGTGAAATACGTTTGGCATCGTTGCAGAATTACGCGCAACGTTGCTAGTTTGCGCGCAATATGACTCATGGAATAAATATTAAATATTCTTCAAGTTATGCAGCAATGTAGCTCCACTTCTTCACAAAAAGATCCAGCCTCACAAATGCTGTCGTTGATTAAGTAACTGTCACAATGGCTAGTCATAGGATGGGTGACTAAAATTGATTACTTCGAGTTCCTGCGTACTTCCAATCAGCACTGAGTCCGTGTAGTGGGTGTCCCGATCTGCCTTTTCGATCCGTAGAAAAGGCCTGTGCCCCAGCAGTGAAAATAGCTAATGATGATTGACAAAATATATTATTTTTAAGTAATTTATTAATTACTTATCATTTCTTGATATTTACCTTGCAACGACGGAGCCTGTAAACGACATGAAAAAAAACGCCATAATACCCGTTCAAAAAATGTTTTACTAAAAGATTGGCACAACTTCCACTGTTTGGAAAAATGAGTTTCCCAGTATTAACAGCCACACCACCACTTTTCACTCCCTTAAAAACTTACTTCTGGGATAAGTGGCAAAAATCGCTCAGTCTCATTGCCTCGCCACATTCACTCTCGAAAATAAGTATAAAAATCCCTAACGAAACTGTTAGGCGATTTGTACATTAAGATATTCCCCAATTAGTACTAATTACAGGTACTAATCTCTTTTTTGTAAGATCAAAGGAGATTAATAAACTAGTAACTTTCCCCCAACTTGACTTATTTTTAACTAAACCACACATATTTAAAAATACCTTGACCAGTTCTTGGTTTGCCGGTTGTCAAGCTGCTTAGCTTAATTAATGCATATTAAAAGCGTCGCAAAGTACTGTATTTCAATTATTCTTAGTCTTATTACTTTACTGCTTGTATAGTTTCAACAATGAGCTTTCTAACGTTAGTCATATGCGAAAACCTTTTAATGGTGTTTAGTCTTATAATTAGATAAAATTGTTGTTAAAAAACATTGTACGTTTTCCAAATAAAATAAAATAAAAACTATCCTGTGTCCTTACTCAAACTATCTCTTTACCAAATATCATCTAAATTGGTTCATTAGTTTAAGCGTCAAGAGGAAACAGACAGACAGAAAGGTATACACACTTTCGCATTATAATCAGAATGGATTAATAGGGATATGTACTTATTCGCAGGCCAGCCTTCGCTATCGGACATCACGTTGGGATATTCGCGCGGCACGGGCAGTAACAGTGCGAGCGCATCCAGAGGCGAAGCCACTCCAGCTAATAACAACAGACAAGAGTAAGTAAACATTCATATTGTTATACTTAAAGTTGCTACTGTTTCAATACGGATTCTTAAATAATGTTTATAAATTTTGTTTTGATAAAATGAAAAATATGGCATGGCTTTTCAGGCTTTGTATAACTTGCGTTAATTAAGAAACGAATTGTAAATAAATACGCAAGACATACTGTTTTTCTCGTACATTTGTACTATACATTGTTGTAGATTTAAATGTGCCTTACACCATTGTTGGTGTACAAAACAAATAATATGGTCTTCTTTGGCTTCGTTTTTATTCTAAATTATCATTAAATTTACTCTAAGAGACACTAAGCAAAGCAACAAATGTCTATTAACCAATTGCCAAATAAAAAATACAACTTCATTTATTAGTTTACATTCCCACCGCCTTATTCCAAAACGAGGACTAAAATTAGACTTGGTTTAAACCTAATGTTGTCGCTGTCTTCTTTTGAGCAATAAAAGGTGACAGCATCAGTTTTAGTTCAGGTATAACTTTAGTCTACGTTTTTTAATAAGGCGGCCAATGTTCCTCTAACTTTTGTTTATAAGATTTTTATAAACACTATATATTTTTTAAGAACTCTTACTTTGATTTCATTATCATAAGAAATATTTGTGATACTATTCATGAGTTTCCATTACCTACCTCTAGGTGGAGCGGCAGCAGCGGCAGTAGTACAGAAGGCGCTCGCCCCGGCCACAACGAGCAGCGTCTCCTGGCGTCCGCTTGGTACCAACTCGGCGCGCGCTGCCACAGGGAAGCGGTCGAGACCAGATTCGCGCTCCTATCAGCCGGGCACTCGTTCCTCGCCCGTCAGAGGAGACAGCCGCCCCGCCCCCGTGCCCCCGCCCCCGCGCCCCCTACCCCTACACCCTCCACACCCGCGCAATGACACCGCCGTGTTCAGTATAGCGCCGTCGTTGGGCGGGGAGGTTCGTGCACTCTGCATCTTTAATACTACACACAGACTGAGTTTTCCCTGTCATACTTTAAAGTAGAAGAACTTGGCGCGCGCTGCCACAGGGAAGAGGTCGAGATCAGATTCGCGCTCCTATCAGCCGGGCACTCGTTCCTCGCCCGTCAGAGGAGACAGCCGCCGTGCCCCCGCCCCCACACCGTCCACACCCGCGCAATGACACCGCCGTGTTCAGTACAGCGCCAGCGCCGACGTTAGGTGGGGAAGTTCGTGCACTCTGCTTCTAAATACTACATACAGTCTGAGTTTTCCCTTACATACTTTAAAGTACACAGGGAAGCGGTCGAGACCAGATTCGCGCTCCTATCAGCCGGGCACTCGTTCCTCGCCCGTCAGAGGAGACAGCCGCCGTGCCCCCGCCCCCACACCGTCCACACCCGCGCAATGACACCGCCGTGTTCAGTACAGCGCCAGCGCCGACGTTAGGCGGGGAAGTTCGTGCACTCTGCTTCTAAATACTACATACAGTCTGAGTTTTCCCTTACATACTTTAAAGTACACAGGGAAGCGGTCGAGACCAGATTCGCGCTCCTATCAGCCGGGCACTCGTTCCTCGCCCGTCAGAGGAGACAGCCGCCGTGCCCCCGCCCCCACACCGTCCACACCCGCGCAATGACACCGCCGTGTTCAGTACAGCGCCGGCGCCGATGTTAGGTGAGGAAGTTCGTGCACTCTGCTTCTTAATACTACACACAGACTGAGTTTTCCCTTACATACTTTAAAGTACACAGGGAAGCGGTCGAGATCGGCTTCGCGCTCCTGTCAGCCGGTCACTCGTTCCTCGCCCGTCAGAAGAGACAGCCGCCCCGCCCCTGTGCCCCCACGCCCTCCACAACCGCGCAATTACACCGACGTGTTCAGTACAGCGCCAACGTTAGGCGTCGAGGTTCGTGCACTCTGTATCTTTAATACAATAATCGCTGCCACAGAGAAGCGGTCGAGACCAGATTTGCGCTCCTATCAGCCGGTCACTCGTTCCTCGCCCGTCAGAGGAGACAGCCGCCCCGGGTCCCCGCCGTTTTCCCTGTCTTACTTTAAAGTAGAACTCGCCCCGACATCGACACTTTTGAATTCAATACAGCGCCGACATTGGAGGAGAAGGTTCGTGCACTCTGCACCTTTAATACACACAGACTGAGCGTTCCCCTCTCATACTGTAAAGTAATATTGCCTCCTCCATCCCTGCGTAATGACCCGCGCGACAAAAACGACACTTGCGAGTCTAGCGGCAATAACGGCGACATTAAACAAGGAGGTTTGTGCTCTTTTCATCTTTAATACACATAATATGATTCTTGTCATGCTTTAAAGAAGAACTGTCCGTTCACTCCCTGTGCTCGCGCAATGACCCACGGGTCATCAAGGATACAACCGAGTCCAATACAGTGGTGAGATTAGAAGTGGTGTAGACATTAAATGACATTAGTTATTTGCGCTCCTATCGGCCGAGCACTCGTTCCTCGCCCATCAGAGGAGATAACTCCGCAACGCCCGCGCAATGACACCGCCGACTCCAATACAGCGCCGACGTTAGGCGGGAGGTTCGTGCACACTGCATCTTTTATACGCATAAACTGAGCGTTCCCTGTTATACTTTAAAGTAGAACTCACTCTTCTACCCCCGCGCGTCGAAATCGGCACTTCAGAATTCAATATAGCGCACATTGGAAAAGGAGGTTCGTGCACTCTGCATCTTTAATACACACAGAGATATATCTAACGAGCGCACTCCTCCGCCTTATCCCTCGCGTCGAAGGAGACCTCCGAATTTAATACAGTGGCGATGTAACCTGCATCTTTAATACATATACTTAACTTGATAGACTAAGATGCCGCGCAGGTCACAATAAGTAGCGTCTCCTAGTTTTATAGTACACATTAAGAGTGGCCTGAACGTTCCGTTGTCAATGTAAAATATAGACCAAATGAGCAGCGCCTCCTATCGTCCCCTTGATATAGTGCGTTTCAAACTCAATGGCAGCTGTGAAGTTAACGTGAGTCGCTCAGTAAACGAAATGTAGAGTGATTTACGTACGCGCAGGATGTTACTGAACTGAAACCTGCGCGCAGGGAACGGAATCCCTGCTAACTTCACAAATGCCATAAAATGGATCACACTATATTAACTCGACACTCGCTGCCACAGAGAAGCGGTCGAGACCAGATTCACGCTCATATCATTAGAATAGAATAAAGAGTTCGTGCACTCTGTACTTCCCATAAAATACCCACGCAGTCTTAGGAAAAGACATTAAATAACATATTTTTTCTTCCTCCTGTTAGTAGAAATCAAAACACGTTATGTGTAAACAAAGTTGGATGTCAAACTATTCTTAGCTCTACACCGTAGTACTAAGGCCCAAATTTGTTTGTACCGGAAAAGAACGGTCCGCGAGTAAATAGAGTTGACACCGCGTCTCAGGAAATTTCTTCGTGTGCATCACAATGTAGTATTAAAATATTATTTCACTTTCTATAGATTATTGCGAGTTAAGGCGACGCAAGTCTTGTTCATAATGTTATACAAACAAAAACTATCTCTTAGAGATAATAATGTGTAAAATAATTTTTCTGGGTTATTTATTCCTGTGTGTAAACGACCACGTCCTTGTATCGAGTAAAAATTTGGGTGCTAAATTACTTGATACTTACGCCGTTATGTTCCTTGTGTGAAAGTAGCACATTTATGTATGTTTTCCTACCAAAATAGTGATAAGGCGTAAGACATATGATACACATATGACAGCGCTTTGTAGACGTTGTGTTATTGTTTAGCGATAAGATTTCTTAAAGTTGGTGAGTTTTACTCTTCCTTCCTAGCTCTCCAAAATACTAATAGTCATTCCGATCAAATAATATTCATTTGTGGAATAGGATAAATGACAGTCAAAAGTATTATTCAGAAAAGTAGTTTTTTTCTAATATGTCCTACATTATAATTTCGAACCCATTAAGAGAGCCCGAGAGAAAAAGCAAAGGCGCGATTATCCCTCAAACAAGTGAAATAAAAATAACAAATTACATCAAAGTAAGCGAATTAAATCTCAAGTAAAAGGTCCGGTGGTAAAATTTTGCCTAAAGGCTTTAAATTTAAATGCCTTCATGTACTTTTTATTATAATCGTGTTAGATTTTTATTGGGGTATGATTTAAGCTATCACCAATTTAATTAGTTTTATATTTCTTAAATAATAGGGTTTGTCCTCAAAATAGTAGATCTGTCACCAAAATGTAGTCATCAAACAATGCAAAATCAGTTCCACAATAAATCACCTAAAATCCTGTGATATAAGGTCTAGTACCAAATAAATGTTTTTGTATGTATTATAATAGGTGTGTCCTAATAAGTATTTAAGCAAACTAATTTAAAGAGATCACCAATAAATCATATTATGTTACTAGAAAATTGAATTAAGTTCAAATAAAAAATTAGGGTTGTCATCATCGTTTCAACCAAAAGATTCTGCTACTTAACTAGACTCCCAAGGTTCTAAATTTCCACTGGTAGTATAAATTATATTTAAATAAAATTTTTAGCAGAGTAGTAAATAAAACAATTAAAGTCAAAATAATCAATATTTATTGTTTAAAATAATTACCACTGAACAATCAGCGCTGGTTTAAAATAGCTGGCTTATGGCTAGCAGAATAGTAGATAAAACACTTAATTAAAGTTAAAATAATCAATATTTATTCTTAAAAAACAATAATCACTGAATAATCAGCGCTGGTTTGGATTTCGAAGGGCGCCCCCTTTTTCTTTTCTGGCCGATAAGCACATTTTTTGCTTCTGGTGGGGGGTTGGCCAGCTTTAAGCGTATGGCTAATCCGATAATATGTTTGCATATATATTTCTTGTAAAACGCAGGGCAGTTGCATTTCCCATGCATCCAATCAATATTGTGCGGTAGATCCACTCTCCATTTGCTGAACCATTGGACTTTGTATTCATCAAAATCAGTCCATGTATTTTCAAAGTTTTGTATTTTGTTTGCCTTACCAGCCGGTACTTCGTAGTGTTTAAAAGCATCGTCACTATACGTCAGTATTACTTCTTTAGGCAACTTAGCCCATTGGTAGGCTTCTGTCCAGTCTTTCAGAGTCATAGTTGGTAATGTCGCAAATACTTCATCGACAGCTAACGACCATCCATTTACAAACTCTGAAGCAACTGTCAAAAAACGAGACAGTGGCAAACGTTCACGGAGCGTGTATTCATCTTTGATTACTCGGTTATGTGATTCTAGTGCATTATTAGTCGCTGGTGAACCCATGTGAGCCCCCAAATACCAGTTACGGTTTTGTATGAGCCATTCCTCCTTAAAATACTGGATGAAAGTTGTCTCATCCTCCCATTTCTTCAAGAATGCTTGTGAAGCTAACTCGAACGTTTCTGAATCCGTCACTGCTTGGAGAGAATCCACATCTGTCAACAAATCTTTGTGAACATTTTTTCGCGTATCTTTCTCTACATGAGCTTGAATTTTTTTTTTGCATGTGCCCAACACATTCGAATTGTGACATCTTCACCAAATACCTCTATAAATGCATTTTGTATTGCTTTCGCTGCGTCACATACTAGAACTTCTGGTTTGAAGGTTTGTGAGTACAAGTTAAAGATATTAGTCTTGATGGCATCGAACAACAACTTAAAGTCTTCTTTTGCCTCATTAGTGGCAACCCCAAGCCCGAATGGATGAAATCGTTTATTTTTGTCTGTACTTCCAACGACAAGAACGGGGAATCCTTGCCACACCAACTTGTATGTAGCATCAGCATGAATAACTTTTACGTCACGTGCTTTTTGTAGCAAATATTTTGTTGATAGTACAAATCTAAAGCGTGGTGAACTAGTTTCTTCAATCACTTCATACCCAATAACATAAACTTCATGTTCGTTGTCAGGAATTGGTGAAT